CGAAACTATATTAACCTGGCGCCCTAAGCAAGGTACGGTCGACTGGACCAAGTTCAGGCCCGTTAAGTGGACGCCAAGTTACGGCTCACTAGAATCCAACTTTACAGTTGCTTTATTTAACTGTCCGCCTTTTGTATTTTTAAATGAAGACGGAGAAGTTGGACGAGGTTTAGAAGTCCAAGTCATCGATGAAGTTATTAGGGAAGTACCTATTAAGTACGTAGTAATAAATTCCAGCCAGGATATAGACCAATGGGCGATATCTTCGGAGATGGTTCAAACGAACGTGACTGATATGGCGGTTTGTTCGCAGTGGTACATCAATACTTACGGGAAAAGCCTCGAATTCTCGTACCCAATCAGACAGATATGTTCTACGTTTTTGGTTAAGAAGCCTGTGCTTTTGCCTGCTTCCTCTTTTGTTTTTCAACAACTGCAAGGGGCAGTTTATCTAGTTACCTTCCTTATACTACTGGTGCTGTCTTTCTTGCTGGCATTGCAATGGTATTTTTATAAGAACAGAGAACAGCTTGATCTTGCTCCAGATTATGTCGTATATCCTTTCCATCTACTGAGAATACTGAGCATGGGTGGAGTACCAAAACTGACTCTCTATGTCTTAGCTTCTTCTAAGTGTTTGTTAGGTTTCTGGTGTTGCTACTGCCTCATCTTCACTACGTATTACTCCGCTGGTATGACGAGTTGTTTAACAAATCCCAGATACGAAAACAACATAAACACTCTTCAAGATATGATATATTACAAAATCCACTGGTTCTCGAAGGTACCGACTTATCAGGATTACTTATTGGGGTTCAATTCACCACTGTACACCACTCTGGCTGACCTATTTGCAATAAAGCACGACAAATCCGACAGTATAGAAAATGCTGCCAGGATAGTAAAAACAATTGAGCGCAGATACGTCACGGAAGTCGAGCAGTTGCCGCAGGACGTTAAGAAGTATTACAAGGTTCTAGACGAATGCATGTCGAAGTACTATACTGGGTTTTTGTTCCAAAAGAATTCTCCGTACACCAGAGTGTTTGACGACACAATTATCAAACTCGTAGAAAGCGGGATTTATGACAACTGGATAGATTATATTTTATACCGGGCTGAAGAAGAGCAAAGGGGTTTTTTCACTAACTATGTAGAGGATCCTAGTACGGTTATCGATTTGAAAAAAATTCAGGGCGCTTTCTTTTTGTTAGCAGGGGGTTATGTTTTAAGTTTTATCAGTTTTGTAGTGGAATATTGTTTAGGAAAAATAGTTATTTAAGATATTTAAGTAAAGTCATTCTTTATTCCAACAGTTTGGACTCGTGAGTTTGATAGAGATTTTTTGCAGGTGTGTTATGAATTTTACTTGAATGGAAATCTATTGCCATGGAATGTTCGAGGAATTTTACCATACTTTTTATTACAGTAGTGCAGTTTGTAATTGATGTTTTTGTTTTACAATTTGTTATAGAAAAAAATATATTATACACGACGATAATAGTTATCCATTGTATAAGTGTTTTAAGTAGCATTTTGTCCACGCAAGAATGTTTAATATTCTTAAGTGGATAAAAGGCAATTAAAACACGAATGCAATACAACGTTTTATCCACAATCACATCACAATCATATTTGTGGAGTCAGAATTATTGGAATTTAATAAAAATATATTCGCACGACTTGATATTTCTTACTAATACGACTCAACAGCTCTATATGAATTCGGAAAAAATGCAAAAGTAATTGTGTTCCTGCGGCTGTTATGGAGAAGCTCAAGAAGCAATGTTCCATTTATTGCCAGCGAAATCCAGGGAACATTACGAAAAAGTGTTCGCCGAATTTCACGAATGGAGGGAAAAAAACGGAGAGTAATGACAATAAATGAAGACGTCATGATATCGTATTGTTTAAATTTAAAGAAAAAATATGGGGGGGATTTCTATTTATAAATTCAGAGAATTCAGAATCGATCATTATGTAGAAGTGGTCGTTTGACACAGGTCATCACTAACAGAGGTTTTATAGTTGTTACGATATCAATTGAAACCTGTGAATCTTAAAGCATTGGACCGTCTGTACTTCTCTTGAAATTTCTTCCTATGCTTTAGCCATGATGTGTCTCGTAATTTATACTCGAATAGTCATTGGGCGAATCCGGTATTGGTAGACCAGTCCGCCTGATGTAAAACCGACGGCGGCGTGCTGGTCGTCAAAGCAAACCTGTATTGGTCCACTAGGTCGTAAATCATTTTTTGCATGGTATTCTATAATTAGTTTGGTGTCAAACGTGGTTCACTTGGCTCGAGAATATCGTCAACTAAATAGGAATATAGCTCGGAATATAGCATTTCTAGAGGTGACCGGACAAAATTTTTCTGAACGCCTATGGATTCCGTATGGAGTTTATGAGTTAAATGTTTTTATGCGGTTCCCACTGATATCGCAACGACTATACCAGAGAACACTATACCAACATAGCGTTCTCTGGTTTTACTATAATATATAAAGTATAATGTTTCGACAATCCTTCAGGGCTGGTCACTACCGTCAAAACTAATTTAAAAAAAAAGAACAGAAGTTTACTCTGTATGTTGTTAATAAATTGTTTCATTTCGATAAATAAATTAATAAGACGTGCTTATAACTTTTATTTAAACATTTTAATTATTAACAAATTTCAGTATGGTGTTGTGCTCTGTTCCTAAGTAGCAATTCCACTAAGAAAGAAGTTAAACTTAAGACGTACCCACCCGCTAAAAGATAAAAAGCACCTTGGATCTTCTTTATATTGACGTTCACATGGGGATCTTCTATATAATTAGTAAAAAACCTACTTTGGAATTTATCGTTCTGGTACAACACACGTACTACCCAGCTCTGATAAATTCCGCTTTCCACCAATCTGGAAATTGTCTGATCAAAAAGTTTCGTCAACGGGGAGTTTTTCTGCAACACAAAGCCGATATAATACGTTCCAACGCTTTCCGTCAAAACTTTGTAGTACTTCCTGTCTTCGTACGGCAGCTTATTTATGTCTGTTACATACCGATGTGCTATTGTCTTAACGGCTATGGCTGAAGTCGCCGATCTGTCGAGTATCCTATGCTTTCTAACATACAGTTTGGCTAACTCGTTAAAAATGGAAATATTCAGCGATATAAAGTAGTCGCGTAGACTGGTATCCATGCTATACCATTCTATTTTGGAATCCACCATCTTTTGTAAAGTATCTATGTCGTTCGTGTATCTCGGGTTAGTCAAACAGCTCGTCATACCAGCAGAGTAGGATGTGGAGAGAATAACGCAGTACAAATACCAGAAACCCAGCAGGAACTTGGTGGATGTACGAAGTAGTACAGGCAAGTTTTCTAGGCCTCCCATACTTAGCACCCTTACTAAATACAACAACTGAAGAGTGAACCCATGAACATGGTTTGCGTTACCCAGAACCTTATTTATAAGGGCAAACCCAAAAAGTACCAGAACTAATATTAAGAGCGTGACTGTATACACGAGACTGTGGAGCGGTTGAAAAATAAACGTGGAATCGGGCAAAAGTCTAGGCTTCTTCACGAGAAACGTCAAAAAGATTTGCCTAATAGGATAGGTAAAGTCAAGGTTTTTGTCTTGGGAACTGATGTACCATTGCGAACAAGCAGCGACGTCATTAATGCTACGTTCCACAGTGTCCGAAATCAACAGCCAAGATTCACTGGTTATTAGAACGGTCTCAATGGGTATATGTTTGATCACCTCCTTGATCACGAGATATTCTATTCCACCCACAACCTTTCCCTCTTTGTTCACGTACATGAACGGCGGGCAGTTGAACATAGCAACTCTCAAACTTTTGAAAACTTGATGCGGTGTCCACTTGGCAGGCCGGAACTTGGTCCAATCGATTTCGCTCTGGTTCGAGTGCCATGATAGTATCGTGGTGTTTTTATGTACAGACTTCACAACAAAGCCATCATAACTGAAAGATAAATTTGAGTAATTTGTGAGTTTGGGTTCTACCACTAGAATATCTATAGCAGAGTTTAGAACGAGATGGTATAATTTTTCAAGGTCTGGAGGTGTCTCGTACATCAACAAGAGTCTAGTCCAGGATTTGAACATAAAACTGTTCTTTTTATTCAAATGATATTTGATGAAGTCGTTTCCGTCCGACAAAACTACTATGTATCCAGTACAAGGTATGTCTGTGGTTAAATCTTTCAAAAAATTATATGATATCGATATTACTCGTATATCAATTTCGGTGTTCAGTAAAGTGGTTTGTATTAGATAATTGAACGAGCTTCTATCGTTTACGTAACATATAATTCTATCTCGGAATACCTCTTTTATTATGTGGGAAAATGTGGATACACTTTCATGATAACTCACGGTATTCGAATAGAAAATAGAAATTATAATGAACAAAGTAAAATATCTCTTCATAATGCTGAAGCATTATCTAGTGATCATTACTTTAATATGAAGGGCTTCGCTGGATTCAGAATCAATGTTCCAACATTTGTTATATTCAATGTGAGGTATTTTACTTTACCTTTAAAGAAAGTTATTTGTATTATAGCACTTAGTTCCCCATCAATCGCGTTGACTTCAATAGGTTTATACATCAGTTAATACCTTGACACTTATAAAAGCTTGTGCTACATGTTAATGAATAATTAATTAAAATGTAAAAGGTTAGTAACGGTTTATAAAAAAATGTATATATTCACTGAATCACTGTTCATGTTAATGGACTGAAACATTTAAAACTCAACAAAACAATTATATTTAAAGTGCGAAAAACAGTAAAATGGTAGTTTTTATGCGTTATATACAGGGTGTATCATATCATAACTAATAGCGCAAATTGGAACAGTTGAGCTGTAAATACACGATACTAGATGCGAAAAAGAATTTGTGGTTACCAAATACTACGAAGAATCATTTATTTATTTACGATTTATTCAAAACCAATCCACATCTTTTTGTTAACACAGGCAAACAGTCCAGCGATGATCCATTGAACAAAGACAGCCCCACAGCAAGCCAAGGCATCAGTGCCTCCAGCTCAGACCAACAACATCTTTTCACAAGTGGTGCCACCCCTACAACAGTAACAATCACAGCCACCATCACCAAAATAGACGATGAGGTAGTACAAAATAAAAAGGTAATCCATTTTTTAATCACCAAATAATTTCTGCCAGAGTGCTTGGGTGTCTTCACCAAAGGACACGGTCTTCCCGGAGACAATTCCAGAAGAAAGCTCCAGCACCGAGGAGGAACACGTAGTGATCTTTCGCCTTCCATCCCTGCACGAGTCTGATGGATTTTTGAGAGATCCATCCATTTACACTGTAAGTCGTTTTGTAACAAAAACTAGTATAGCTTCTATCCACATTTATTCCTAGGCGGAAACAAGCATAATTCAGTTGGCTATGAGGAGGAATGGTACTGGAAGAACTAACAATGTAAAATTGGAGCAGATAGCAACCAGTTCCATTGTAGAGACCAAGGCGACATCTTCGAAGCCACCCATGCAGAAAATTGGGTACGTCAAAATTATAGTAAGATATCTATGTACTAGTAAAGATTTTAGGTCTTCGACCGATAAAGATTCTATGGACAGCACCAAAATGCCATCCTGTGACACCCAACCAAAAGATGAAGGGAGCAAAATAACTGCGACTGCGATGGACATCAGTGCTGCTACATTTTTAGATGTAGCAGTTTTACGATGTTTATTTATAACCCACTGGCAAGAAGAGGGCATATATTGGGCTTTGCATTACATGTACAACAGGTATATTTTACGTTTGTGTCAAAGCAATGATTCGGAATACTTGTACCGATGTTTCCAGACTAAGAGACATAAGCGACGAGACAGCGGGTCAGCAACAGCCAAGAAAGAGGAGCAACTCCTTACCTATTCCAAAGATAGAGGTTTCGTTGTATCAAAGTACCGAGTCGAAGAAAATAGAGACCAAAGACTTCATTGAAGTTCCAGAAGTGAAAGACGTGTCTCTCTTAGTAGGTAAGAGTGTGGTAATTACTAGTTAGTCGCGTTGACAACTCAGTGATTCTAGAATCCCCTTACACCAGTCAAAGTAAATCGGATGAGTCGCTTCATAAAAGATCATCGAGCGAGAAGATAAAGAGGCGAATGAAGATAGCAGATTTAAAGACGTTCGTAGAGACGAAGCTGCTTTCGAAATCTGATAAAGCCCTTGAGAAGATCGGGAGCGACGAGCAAAAATCTCTAGGACAACATTCGGTGGGTGCCAGAAGAATATTGGATGTATGTATTTATCTTTCTCTTCTTCTGTCCTCTTCGATGTCCCTATGTTGTTTCTGCTGGTATAAAATATTTTCTAATGAAAAATTTCTGTTTAGAACTACCACAGGAGCCTGGATACGGGGGATGAGCATTTATCCCGACCCCAGTCTGCTATGTCGAAGATATTTGAACCTCCCAGCAATTTGGTGAAGGGAAAAAGTATGCCGAGTCTAAGGTAGGACTTTTCTGTTTATTTGGTGAATGTTTTTACGATTTTTTAAGTATTCTCATGTCGTTACACGTTATATTTGGTAGATCATTGAATTAGATTTGAAAATTTAAATATTAGAGTAGATATAATATAAAGATAAGATAGATAGATACGTTTTTATTCACCAATTTTGTAAAATTGATAGATCTAACGAATTGTTCTTGTATTTTGAAAGTTGTATCTCTTGAGATTTTTCCTTTTTGTAATGTATTGGCTTTTGGGATTTTGCCTATTTAATTGCATAAGCTGTTACTCTTAATTTACTTGTAACATTGAAAACCCCAAAAGGCAAACAGAAAGTCCACTATTTCAGCTTGGATAACTGCTTACATATTGTGCAAACGAGATGGCAAATCATGTCTTTAAATGTTCTTTTCACGTATACTTCTTCTTTTTCTATTTAAACTGCGCCTTTCGTCTTTCTGAGTGTTCTTATTATTTATTCTGTCTTTCTTAGCTGTTTAATAGACGAATTAAATGCAGGAGGGTAAGTAACTAATTCTTGCACAGATCATTATATTAGACAATTCCTGAAAATAGTATTTTGGTGTTAAATAAGTACACAGAAGGTCTATTAAATGCCAAAAGAAATCTTTACCTGTTCGAAAAATAATATCTGTTATCATCGCGATGTTTTATTAAACAAACGAAAATGTAATGCAAAAACTGATTATTTAAGTCAAATTGTGCTAATTAGTATAAAATATAAAGTATTCTGCATGCTACATTCCAATAACAAGAAACCTTTCAATTCATTTTACTAAAACTACAAAGTATGCCTCAAGGACAGGAACGTGGTCCTATTTCTTTTACCAACTTCACAAACGATTTCAGGTCGACTTAATTTCAAACAATTGCGTGTGTATTTATTTACAACGGCTTCTAGAGATGCTTATTTTTAAATTGCCTAATATAATATCTTCCTTTCCACCAAGCTTGAGCTTTTGCAGCATCTTTTGCACAATACAGCTACCGAACCCTTCAGGCTTCTTATAGACAATTTTATTTTTGCTACCGAACATTATGGGTGATGATACTTTGCCGTAGACACAGTTGCGTGAATAAAATCAACGGCCTTGACTTTATTTCTCGATTAGGTACATGGATGAAAGTCAGTGGGAATGTAGAAGACCTAGCAAATTTGGACATTCTCAACCCATGGCGAACCCCATCATTACGGTGACGGAACATACTCCGACTCCGTCTCCAGATTTTTTACGTAGACAGGTCTTGGAGATTATTTCAATAAGTTTGCTGACAGTTAACATGGATTACTTGTAGGGTTCCTTGGATAGTCAGCTAGATGCAGCTAGTTTATCCGGCAGCAAGCTCGGTCACTGGCAAGAAAGGAAGGCCAGTTTAACCAGGTCTCAGACTGATTCAAACATCACTTATGCAGGAGAAGACATCCCCGAGGCTCCTGGTGCGGCGTGTTACATAACTAAAGAAGGAGATATCGACTTTCAAGTTGTTTTGAAGGTAGGCGTAGCAATGCATGAATCGTGGACCAAACTGATTTGCTGTTGTAGGCGGTGCATAGAACAGCGATTAGGGAGAGTTCTTCTTGTACCCTCAGAGTCTTAGAGGTAATCTTAAATCTAGTAGAACTGCTTATGGACATGGGGGTGCTGAAGCAGTGTTTGCGGGACGAAGCTATAAGTAGTTTTACTCCGGTTCCTGACTCTAGTAGTCCTGGAAAAGGAGCCAAGCTGCCGATGAGTAACACTCGCGGCTCGCTTGGAACGGACCCGGAAAAAACTGGGAAGCCGATGTCTTCTCATAAATTAGTAATGAACATCATAGTGAGGTGAGATTTTCATTCCTTACATCATTATTATTGCCCGAGCGTTATTTTTATAGAGTCCTTAAGCATCTAGGGTGCCCACACGGATGCGCTGATGGTCAGAGAGGACCTGCGGCTGAATTTCTTCGAACTCAGTGCCAGAACATCTTGGCCAAACTCAGCAGAGCTAGTGGGAAACAGTTTAAGAAGTTTTTACGTGACTACATCAAGTATCAGACTATAAATGACATCATGGATCTATTCCACTCTTATGTAGGGTATTGCATAGACCCCAGCTCTCTACTGTCGCCTCTGAGTAAGCATTTGTGTTTCGTTTTAACTTGTATATACGAAAACGTACTGACCGACCACAAGTAGAGATCTGTTACACTCAGCTACGACGCGTATTTCATTTTCTTTTCTTGATTCAACTCTAGAGTATCTCTGTTCAAGATTCACTGCAAGGAGTGCTTACAGAATTTCCAAGGTCATGCAAATATTCGAGAGCTAAATCAATGTGAAGGAAATATCATCCTATCTACTACCCCAAACTACTTCACGCATATATCTTTGTTGTGAAATGACTTACAACAAATTTTAAATGTACCTTTTAATGCAAGATGCATAAAATTACCTTGGAACCAATTCACTTTAAGTTTGCTGTGCAAAAAATTGATCTACGCAGAATGGTCTCAATTTTTTTTACTTACTGTGGTGTTTTGAGGTGATTTTGTGTTTTGTGTCTTACTGTTACACCTTGCTAGAGACTAGTGTATGTTGCAATGCTGTGCTCCCTAGAAGACTGGTCTTGTCTCCTACCACATTTCCGAAAATTCATCGTTTTAGAGTAGTATGTAGAGAAACACTGTGTAAAAGCTTTGAAGAATGACAGGGTCTACGAAGCAGAACAAATTCTGAACAGAATGCTTCCTCCAAAGACCTTTTTCGGCTGGGAATTTGTTCTGCTTTAAGACTAGCGTCGTTGCTTCAAAGCGCTGACTTAGTTATTGAAAGAGTCTTGCAAATTTTACTTGTCAGACCAGAAGAGGGGCTCTAGCAAATCACCAGACACAGTGTCGCAAGGTGGTTATGCATCCAACTTTGGCACAGGCGTGGGGGGCGGTGGAATAAGAGGGGTCGAGGGACAGATTATGTCACATGTGTTTAAGCCGCTCGTCACCAGATTTGTGGAGTCCAACAAGGAAATCAAATCTTCCGACAGTTTGGTAAGTAAGATAATATTCTTCTAATGACCTAATTGGTCAGTGTTCAGAACTCTCATCTACGTTCCACTTACCTTTATCTAAATTTGTTCAATAACGAAAAGATTGTGTTCCAAAAGGAACATTCTTAACGGAATGTCTTGCCAGTAAAGATATGTTTCTGCAGAGCCTGTATTGCGACATCCGCCAGCTGATGACCTACGTGAAGGAGGGTCATGGGAGCGTTTTCAGAAGGGTGGCTTTAAGTGCTTTGCTTGATACTGCAGATAGGCCGACAAAGAAGGAAGCGAATATTCAAACAACTAGAGTTATAAGGTGAATAAATTATTGAAAAAAAACTTTAAATTACGGACCACTTTTAGACACATGCATCATTCCGAAATGGAAGATCAACCAGAAGCTCCGACAGATACACAATCGTACACCATAGACGATAGAGGCGTGAGAAAGTTACTTTTCAAGAAGAGAAGCACTTCTTCAACATGCGCAGTACGTACTCGCACCCGCTTTTTGTAATTAAAAAAACATGTTTGCGTTTTAGAGTCTTCTAGAAACTGAAGCAGAAGAGATGACTAGGGCCAGCCAAAGTCCATTAGGAAATATAAGAAAGAAGCATCACATACTAACACCAAGACAGAGCGAAAGAACCTTGGGAATTTCTTTAGAACCCACAAATAAATCAAAGAAATCTAAGTTAGGTGGTATAGGTAAGAGGATTCTTGATATATTAACGAACAATCTAAGAAACTCATCTTTTCAGTGAACTGGTTCAAGAAAGGCGATAACTCTTCTACTGACGAGCTCGATAACCAAGAAAATGGGGACTCATTTACTGATACTTCAAGTTTCATCAGACAACCGTCCAAATATTATCACCACAAGGGATCTTCTAAAAGGTACTAGTGCCTAGTGTTTGAAAATAAGCTTTTTATTTGAATAATTTTAGCAATGTTAGCCAAAGCATCCAGAAAGCGAAACGGAGAATGGAGGATAAGTTCAAATTTGTTCTGAAAAAGGGAAAGAAGAAAGACGGAAGCTTGGAGGAATCAGCAGGTGGATGTATGAAGATATAACACACAATTTTTCTTATTTGATATGATGATTTTGCAGACTTTAGCAGAAGAAACTCCTTTGACTTTGGCGAAACATCTAGAGAATCAGAATTTGTGGTTCTTAAAGAAAGAAAACTAGTATCTACAGATCTGGTGTTTCAGGGAGTGTCGAGACTATCATTTCTTCTAGAAACTTGCCCTCCTGGATCGGTGCCAGATCCTCACCTTCTAGCTTCAGCTCTAGATTTGGTAAGTACGTATATTCAATTCCAAAAATATCTAATGTCTGGTTCTTTTCAGCCTCATTCTACAGTGGTATCTAGGGCGGCTCTGCTTTTAGAATGCTCTTACTTTGTCCACTGTTGCAACAAGGGTCAGTGGCCCTCCTGGATGAAGTTGAATTTCTCCATGTTCAGACCTTCTGGTCCTTTACCACCACGGGGAGGTAGTACTGGAATCAGAAGGTCTCACGTTATGCAGAGGGCTGCCGGAAAAATGTTCTACCAATGGGCAGAGGTATAAGAAACTTATGTTGTAAGGAATTGGGCTTGATCCACTATCATTTCAGGTTATTGGGCAAAGATTGGAAGAGTTTATAAATGAAGATAAAAACTTGCAAACTCAAGTCACAGCTATGATAACGGATGAACAGAAACAGAAGGAGTTGCTTGTCCAAGACGAAGAGGAAGACTTTCTGGACGAAGGTTTCTTGAAGTGCAGAATTGTTTAATTTCCATTCTATTTATAAATCTTTCAGCAAGCATAAATTCCTATGGTTCCTCCTGTCCTATGGCCTTGAGGGTAATAGCATGCATACTGCTTCATGAAATCACTGCATTCCTTCGAGAAACTTATCAAACTTTACCAAAATCATCCCGTGTGACTGGAAAAGACAGACCTCCTCCCTGGGAGAGACTCTACAGTCGGGAGGCTAATAGAAGGTGGAGTATGGCTTTGTCCTCAATGGGTCATTCACAGACTTCAGCTCAGAGTTTACAATCGATCGCGGGAGACAGAGATTCAGGTTAGCAAGTTAAATTTTTTATATAACTATGTACACCGTGTTAAAAAGAACTAAGCTGATTCTGTATAGGTCAAACAGAGAGGAAAATAAGTTTCGTCCTCCACGAACCGGACAACGAATCGGAAGCGAGCAGCAACACTACTGTGACGATGCAAGTAAGTCAATTTCGTTAGCGTTACATCGCCGTTACAGTAACTTATTGCAGGCTATGCTTCAGGGTGAAGACCCAAAACGTATTGGTCAACAATCGAGACCATATTTACTTCGAAGGGGAACCGCAGCGCCTGCAGGAGGGTCTTTCAAGAGGCGTAGCCTAAAACTGAGGAGAGGCACAAAGGAGGGCAAGGATATAGATCTGGACTGTAAGTGTAAAATTTTTTGGTAAATTCCCTTCTAGAGGATTATTATTCTAGGGAGGATTCCAGAATCCGTCAAAAGAACAGACTCCATTCAATCAAAACGGAAAGTCAGTTCTCTTTCCGATAGAAGCGACACATCCGAACCTGGAATCGCTGGGGAAGCCAGCGGAGAGGAATCTCCAGGTGTCTTAAGTGACGACCAACCCCCGGAGAGTCCCAGTGATAGCAACGACACCGACGATACCACGAAAACTATGCCCTGGATGAAAGTCAGTACGAGGAAGCAATGAAACAACTTTAAAACATTCTATTTACAGGTGATGGTCCAAATTTCTAACTCGTTTTACTACTATTGTCCCCATCAGAACTTCTGCCACCCATTTTGCTACAGACGCGTCATGAGGGGTTGTAGCAGGTTAACAAAGGCGGCGAGGAAGGTGTACGGTGAAGAATTCGGTGTGTTGGACGATAAGTTGTGTATGGATTTTGGCGGGAAAAAGAAGACCAACAAAAAAGAGAAAAATCAGAATCGAAAAGTATCCGATCAGACTAGCTCTACTGTATCTCCGATCAGAAGAAAGGACAGTGTCGGGAAGAAGGACAAGTAAACAGAATAAGATGGAGATTCATAAAATTGAAGTTATCTTCTTTTTCTTTCTAGAATTGAGAAGAATTTAGACGGGTCCCAGAAATTGGCTTCTAAGGACTCGTCTAGAGATATAGCTGACTCTGACACAGGAGGTGATTCAAAAAGTACAAGCAATGGTAAACCAACTGAGCCTCCACCAATATTAAAGTATATCAAAACTCAGGTGCGTTTCTACAAATATACAATTTTCTTATATTTCAATAACACTTTTTCGTCCTCTGCTTAGGTTAAAGATGCCTTCCATGCTCCACTTGCCGTGTTACTCAAGGGAGCTGTGATTCTATCGGAAGAACACTTCCTGGAAATAATTCCAGTTGCCTGGGAGTTACTCTTAGAGATTAACCAGGAAGTAACGGCTTGCGCAGCCTCAATTTTCATATTAGGTGCCGTCAAGTGTCCTCAGCAAGTGTCCGATATTATGCAGCATAGCTTGTCGCACCCTGATTGTTCTGTGCGGATAAATGCCATTTTAAGGTTTGTGACGTATTGGTTCTTCAGTTGTTTGTTTAATTTTCTCGCTTTAGGTTCCAAGTCCTATGGAAAATGAGGTATCAGGTATGGCCAAGAATGGAAGAAAGCGCTCAGGTTTTATTCAAGGTCCCACCGCCCGGAATTGAATTTACTTTGCCGTCGCCAAAGATAGGAATCGAGTCTTTGGACGTCGTCGACTCTCCGTGGGAGCTCCTCGTGAAAACTAAAGTGGAGGAGGTCACAATCAACCAGGAAAGACATGTATGTACTTTTACAGGAATTTTTATACAGGCAACTTTGTTCTCTAAAACATTTTGTAGAGATCTTTGGTGACTGCCACGAAAACAAGGAAGAAACAGCAGACGGAGCTAATAAAAATGGCGCTACAAGCACAAGACGACAAAAAGAGGGAAGAGAGAGAAAATTTCCTAATCACTACCATTCCTATTACTATTCAAGCCGCCCACGAGCCAAGTCTCTACCACACAAGCGAGGAACATGAAGAAGGTTTGTTAGATATCTACTAATTTCAATTATTATTAACTTTGTTTCCTTTCCAGTGGATGATGAACAAGTGGAGGGTCAGCCTAGGAACACCACTCACCATCTCCACTCCGCTCACTCACTATTCCCTTCCTGCCTCTGTTCTGCCGTCGTCCAGATTATCAACCTCTTAGACGACGCTGCGGTGTCTCCAGATGGCAACGCTGTGTACGAGGTTTCATATCAAGTCATCTGGACGTGTCTTGTTGAAGACAGCGCCCTCTTTCTCAGATACATCTTGGAGAGGCTCACCAGGGAAAAGCAGGATCTCATGTTTAAAATCTTGAGGCACTTGATAAGATTCATACCTAAATTACCTCAACAAGCCGCGTTTGCTCTGTACAATTACATTATAGGTTATGTAATGTTCTATGTAAGAAGCCCTCATGAAGACGGGCAACAGCTCATTGGAGCAGCATTGTCTCTACTGTGGATGGTAAATTACAGCCATTGAAATATTCTTGCTAGCTGTCTTTATAATTTCAGGTGGTACATAGCGTGCATGGCATAATGTTTAAGGACCTCAAACAGATTTTAAGAAAGGAACAGTGCGACGCTTCTATCCTACTGACGGCCAATGTTCCTTCAGCAAAGAAGATAATCGTGCATGGCCCACAAGGTATTTTTTATTATGTATTTTCTTCACTGCGATAAAAGTTTTAACTCATTTCAGATCCTGACGCGGGGGGGATTCCATCTCAGTTCCCGGTCCAAGAAGACACCCAGTTCTGTCAGATTCTAAGGGAAGCTTTGGACTTTTTTGGTATAGAAGAGAACAAACACAAGGAGTTTTTCTTAGTGGATTATAAAACACGTAAGATGGAACAATTTAGCCTTATTTTTTTTATTGACACGTTTTAAATTAGATCAAATAAGGAATCCGTCTTCCTACGTACGAGACTACTATTTCTTCAAGAGGTCTCAATATCCCCAGCTGGAATTGGTCCATATGAAGCCTGATCTAGCTTTCAATGCACTGCAGAAACAGGAACTCCTACACAAGTTTGTGGAAATAGGCAAAGTTCTTCTGACGTGGGCTATATTGAAAAATGTTGACATGGTAAGATAGCAGTTGTAAATAATTAAAGAGATACTAAGGATTATTCGCTTTAGGTGGTACAAAGGGTGGTATTTCTTCACGAAGAACTAATGAAGTTGCCTTCTTTTCCAAGGAAAGCCCTAGAATCTGACCTGGACCTCTACAAAAGTGGTCCCTTAGGAAAGGAACTGCTAGGTTTGGACGTGCTCCACAAGTTCATGTGGGTGAGGCTGATAGCCAGAATGTTTGAAGCGATGGCAGGAAATTTCGCTTATTCCGGAGATATTCATTTGTTTGTAAATGTCCTCAACGGAGCGGTAGTGCTACACTCTGAAGACGCCTGCATACTGAGATACGTCATGGCCACCTACATCAACGCAGCCTTCCATTTCAAAAATATATTCTCAACGAATGGGTAAGAGATGACAGAGAGCTTTTGACAATGTTTTTCTCCTTGTACTTTCAGCTATTTACTCATCATGCCTACTTTGTTGAAAATCTACTCCAATCATCAAACCAACAAACTTATAACGACGACTGTGGAGTACGCTGTTAAACAGTTCTATTTGATGAACAGGAAACCATTCATTCTTCAAATGTTTGGATCTGTCTCCGCCATGTTAGATACCGACGAAGAAGGCACCTACGGAGATGCCCACAAGGTTAATAAAACTATAGTTTCTTGGTTCCCGAAGTTTGTATCACGAAATTTATTTTAGATTCAATCCAGTTGTCTCTTCAATCTATTACTAAGCCTGGAAACACCTTCTCCGGATCCTCTGAACATAGCAGAACTAGTGAAAGAGGAGAAACCCTTGAAAGCAATCGATTTCTGCTACCACGACGAAAACGAGATGGTGACCATACTCGATTGCATATCCATGTGTGTAATGGTTGTGTCTTATTCTTCGGAGAGCGTCAGAGGATACCAAATGTTGGTGGGTTACCAGAAGCTCGTGGTTTTGATATTTGAATTATCTATTTGATGAATAGTGTTGATCCAGTAACATAATTTAAATTTCAGATAATACTGGAAGCAATTTTACCTTGCTACGTCAAACAAATTCAATTGCCGACTTACAACAAGGAAGGTAAAACAGAAAAAGAGATTATACACCAACTAGCCGTTGCTATTAAAACACTGGTTAACAATTGTGAAGCACTGACAAAGTAAGTGGAATTGGCAGAGTTTAACAAACTCTTTAAAACTGAACTTTTCAGAAGCTACAACGGCCCTTATCGCTCTAGTCCCGAGCACAAGGGATCCAGTCAAAGGAATTACAGCCGAGGTCCTTACTCGCCCGGCTTCGACTTCGAAGACGATTCCCATTCAAAATTCATGAGTGAACATTCCCGCGCAAAGAGCATGTACGAACACGACGTAGAAGACTCCGAGGTACTTAGGGCAGAGTATAGGAGACCTAGAGACGTTTTGTTGTCGTTAGTTGGCGAGTTTATGTGTAGAGCTACAAATAGACTCCAGGAACTCAACAAGAAGAATAACCACGATGGAAAAGTGGTCGAGCTATTGGACATCAAATCACATGTGGTAAGTGTGGAATATTTTCGAGCGTTCCGCTCTTATATCACTAATGTTTTTCAGAGATTGGCAGATATAGCACACACTTTACTGAAGGTGTCACCGTACGATCCAGAATCCATGGGGTGTCGCGGGTTGCAACACTATATGAGTTACATTTTGCCTTCAACAGACTGGGCGAATGATGCGATGAGACCTGCTTTAGTCACAATTCTAAGAAGATTGGACAAAGTTTTCCAAAAGATATCGAAGAAGCCTTCAATACGAGTAAATACATTATCCGTTACATTTTTCTAAATTTCTGTGCTTTCTTTTTTAGAGAAACACCGATTGGGATGCCGCAGCAGGGTTACTGAAGGGGATATACGACACGATGGTCAAATATCCTTACATCATACACTGGTCACATATAAAGGCACTCATTAACACTTGTCAGGTAAAGACACGTATTAAAAATAACTTCTAAAGCTAATTGTTGATTTCCTAGAGCCTCATCGTCAGTGATTCCTGTGCTACAGAGGGAGTTTCAGGAGCTACAGCAGCTTTAATGAGCCAAGCACCCCCACCCCATTTCTGCTCGATGGTAGTGAGGCTCATCGCTTTGCAGATCCAGAACACCACAGTACGTAGTTTTCCCGTCATACGAATTCAATGTGGTGCAAAATGACATACAAACATGGCAGCTTTCGCCAGCTTTCGCTTTCGATGTCATCATTCGCTACGCAGTAACTGAATTGACGTTTAGAATCATCCTTAGGCATAGCTTTGGTGTTAGATCTAAGATATTTTGCGCCAAATTGACGCTGGTTATTACCAACAGGGTCCGTTCAATGTTCCGGACTTTCTTTTATTTTTCAACCAGGATACTTGCACCTTGGAGCAGGTGTGTGGGGGTAGTTCCATGTTCCCAACCCAAGACAAGACGGAAAGCATGATAATGAACCTGATCATGCCTCTGTGCCTAAGGGTAGGCTCTGGAAGGAAAGGTGTAAACATTTGAACTTCAGAGGTGTGTATTTTTTCATTTATTTGTTTGCAGATGTGGCTCAGATGAAGCACAGCGACATAAGCTTTGCTCTAACCTTGGTGCTCCACGCTATGAGCCCTCCTAATACGAAGACCATGGGACCTTCGGGTACAAACGTCAAACCAACCGCAGAAATAAGAACTGGAAGTTTAACTTTCACCGGAACTAGGGACACTAAAACTTCCGCGAAGATAAACACTTCTTTGTACCAAGTATCGTTTCTAGGTAGGTTACAGATTTTGAATACAAAGTAAAGCTCAAAATGCGATGATTTCAGCGTTGAAAATCATGGCTATATGCTTCGAGGGTGAGCTTATGAACGAGTGGTCCCGCATTGGTAGAACAATGAGGGAGCTTGGTAAGAGAAATGAAGCAGCTACATTCTTGTGGGACTTCCTAGACTTTGTTGTGACACACAGAACCACCCTTTACATTTTAATGCAACCTTTCATATTCCAAAAGGTAATGCTATGATTAACATGATTCGGTAACAACAATTGATATTTTTAGCTGGCCCAACCTCCTATATCGGATTTTGAAAGGAACATGCACACAAAAATTCGCAACAAAATGAGAAGCATCGGTTTGCCGCTACCAAAAAGTCGTGGAGCGCTGCTTATGGAGCTGGCGCATGAAATGAAGGTGCTGAAGGAAGAATTGGATGAATGTAAAAATGCTCTTTAGATTTTTAAATTATTAATAACGGAGTATCTGTTTCAGCAACGGAATCTTCCAGTGAACCAAAGAAACAGGAATCGACTCCCACGTGTCAGATGACAACGGAAGTACCTGCTGCTCCAACCAGGCATCAAAGACATTCTTTGATAGGGTTGTTTACGGGAGAAGGGCACCACGGTACTAAGTCTGCGCCTGCGCCTCACGAGCAGCTTCATTCGCAAATAAAAGGTAGACAAACTTGTGGAATGTAATAATAATAATTTACAGACTCAACTTTTAGAATCATCGACAAGCACCAGCCACGTTTCGACTCCTAACCAAGTCACCAACATCAGTACCAGCGAAGGTCATGACACAAATGCAAATGGAAGTTCCACCCCTTGTAACGCACCTGGTACGCCATATTCAGTTCCACGTCGTTTTTTAACTAGTATATATTTTACGTTGGTGTTACATAGTACTTTATTGATGTTCAAACAATTTAGAATGACATTTATTGTGTAGTATCTGTTCGTGAGGCTGAAATTATGAACTAGAGGAAATACTTTTGAAAAAAGTACATTTCAGTGTTTGTATTTCTTGAATTATAATTTCCTGCTTCACTTTTATAAAATGTTTGCACAACTTCTAAAGGAGATGTATATACACAAAATAATGCACGAATAAGTTTTATTTACCAACATATAGATCCTAGACCAATTGTGTTAGATTTAAGTAAATGGAATGGTTTCCTGTAGAATTGAAGCATTTAGTAAGGTGTTGACTTACCTAACCTGTTCTGAATGTCGGAAACACTTCCATTTTGTCAGTTCTCTCGGGATGGATTAATGTTATCTGTTGTTAGGGTGTCGCTTGCATGTAAATGTTTCAGATCGGTCTTCACAAAGATCTTCGGTCAGTGATGATCACGGCGTGCCTCTGCCTAAATCTGAATCCCTCGTCTTTCACAAGGCCCATAAACTACGCTTTGTTTCTTCCGTAGAGTTTAGACATTCCTCAGGTAATTTCTCTCGTCATTTGCTTTAACTAGATCAGTTTATGTCGATGTCGGATGCAGTTATTTCCATGGATGTTCGTCCTTGTTACTTCTAATCGTATGCCTTTAGGAGAAACTTCCACTACACCACTAAGTCCAGCGAGTCCAGCGGATGACAGCTCTGGGGAAATTTACCCGAACAAGTCGAGGCTACAACGCATCAAACCGCAGAGTCGGAAGACCTTTCGTTTGAGGAGAAGCAGGAAGAACAACAATCGTGTCGAGGTAAATAAACTGTCTTGCTTTGCATTACTTTTGCTGACAACTACCTTAGGTGTCGCATACAAAGTTGGAGTCTGAGTTGGCAACACCTAGTCCTCAACATCCAGACTTTGGTTCGCCTCCCCTGACACCAGTTACCATTTCACAACCTACCATTCAACAACCAGCTGATTCTCCAGTAGCGTGCGGACCAGTCAAGCAGGAACAGAAGCTGGAACCACTATCGAACTCTCACAGGCTAAGGATAGCTACTAGGGGCAAAGTAGCTGAGGGTTCATGGGATGAAGATTCAGTGATTTCTCAAACATCCAGCACGTCTGGTTACAGGTTACCACTTTTATATTACGCACTTACATTAAATTTTAAAACGTTTAAGACTTAAGGTGTCTTGATGCAGCCATAACCCCATTGCATCTCCGAATCAAAGTTTAAACCCAGTATAGATTTGGTTTTCAGAGAGTCCTACCCTGTGATGCACCTGAAGGAGTCCCTGGAGACGTCTCCGAAGGCGTTTCCCCCACTAGCTTCACCGGATATTCATAGTTTGCCCTCGACTAGCAGCGCCACCACGGCTAACAATTACCTGCACATGGACAACTCTTCTCCGGATTGTTCTTTGAATGAAAATGGGGAGAAAACAGCGTTGCTCGGTCATAACGAGAAGTCGTCCTCTCAGCATTCTCTGCTGATGGTTTTTGAGCAAGATGAGACTACGCTCATTTAATAAAGGGCCAATGTTCAAATTGGACAAGGAAGGGCGTGAATAGATTGTCGCGTTTATTGAGAAAGCTGAGAAATTACGTTATTTTGCAACAAAACTTCTGACATCTGACAACATTCAGGTTAGGTGTATTTCTTTTATGATTTATGGTTATGGAAATATACCCGATCCATATTTGTTCTCAGCTTTTTAAAGTGTTGGTTACATTGAAAAATAACAAATAACACTTCAAGTTTGAATTACGACTAACCCACTAAGACAAGTTACACAACTTACAGAAAGCATAAACTAAAAACTAAACCATAGATAAGAGAGATAATTAAACTATCCTTAATAAACAGTTGGCATCAAGGGCAACAAGGGCGCCATCGGTGACGGTAAGCCGAAAACTGTCAATGGCGGTTTTTTCAAATATATATTTACATTTTATCATTTTATATAACGGTTTGAATAGCATCTCAGGACACTCGAAATTCTCAGACGCTGTTCAACAATAACAAACATAATTACGTTATTTATTCAACTCTTTTCTATAAACTTTGGTATACGATAAACATTAACTTGGATTGCCAATATCCCGGTAACGGACATTGTCGATAGAAGCTCATTATCCACAATTTACAAGCAGCGCTAGTCTAGCGGTTTGATGAACTATCTTGATCCGTCCCAGTCTTTTGCATTTTCTTTGTTAAAAATGGAAATAATTTGACTACCGATGACTGGATGTCATATAATACAACAAAACCAGTTTTATGATATGGACAGTGCACCTACTAGGTCTTCATTGACCTAATAAAGTACATAAAAGTATCTTAATACCGTAATATTTGACGAATATATGTAACTAGGTATATAGGCTATTGAATATATAAAAATAAAACAAGGTTAAAAGGAACTTTGACGTTCAAGTAATTTTATTGCAAAGGGTCATTTTAGATGAAAAAACCTATATACATATAGAGTAAAGGTCAGAATTAAAATTTGTATTAGGACACTATTTGAGGTTATAAACAAATTTGTTTCATAAAAGTGTTGTGTAGAATAATAAATAGGTAATGGTACTTCTCTCTTGAGTATTCTCGTGTTTTTTTTTTAATTTATGAGCACCCTGTATATCTAATGTAAGATGTTTGTATGACAGTCTCATTTTATCGAGAGGCAGAACTGTTTATAAAGAGTGAAATTTTTCGATAAAGTCAAAAATAAAAGAGCTTCTCTTGTCAACACTATCCGTGGACACACTGTATATACATTATTAATAAACTTTATTGTACTTAAATTCTCAAGTTTTTACTAAATGATTTCATTAAAAAGTACAAAAAAAATAAAAAAATTAATTTTTTGCTTTCTTTAAAATTATTTATTAACGATTATCAAAAAATCGAATTTTTTGCTTTTCTCAAATTGTTTATAACGATTTTTTTGCATAAAATTTTTCTTCTAATTTTTTTAAATAAGCTATTTCGATGGGAAATTCAATTCTCTAAACAATTTTTCCTACGAACTATAGCGAAATTTTGCTTCGTTTTTGAGCTACAATTAAAAAACTGAAAGGGGTGCATTTTCACCCCTATTTCCAATTTCCATCCTCTAATTTGATAGCACTTCGCGATTTTCTCATCTAAAATGACCATTTGAACGATTCATGTAATAAAATATCTTTGTCATAGTCACAGTTCCTTTTGAAATCCTCTATTCAGTACCTTAATAAGTATATGTATGTATTTAGCAAGTCTAAGTATTATATTAAGAGAATTAAATATTTGTGACCCCAACTTTCATATATGAGAAACATTGAATTATATGTTTCTCTGAAGCCTGGTTTACATTTACCACTTTTTGACATCAATTGGTATTGGTATGTGTACCTACATCTAATACACGAGTATAAACGTTAGGAAATTTCAGTGACGACTCTTAACTTCCATACCAGGGAGGGCGGAAAAATTTAGGTACAAAATATTAAAAAAAAAAAAAAAATTAAATATAATTGGTCAGTTTTATTTTAGTACTATAGAAATATAAAGAAAATGTGTTCAACGTTATTTTTTATAGTGAAAGTCCATTCTTCAGCATTTCTCCGAAATAAACTTTTCAATTACTTTTCCATTAATGTTTGATATTTCTCGCACCATTGATTTTTCAATAGATAGACAGCATTACTGTTAGTCTGTCTTTACAATCAATATAAATTTTTACAATCTTTTAAAAAACACTCAAGAAGCAATACGTAAGTAAGTAAAATTTTGCACCACACCTGAACAAATTACGTTTAACAAGAAAAAAAGCCGTGAATAGCTATTATTTGGTTACGGTCGAACTAAACATAGTAAATACGTGCTACTCACATTCTGTCTTTCACAGTGCGACGGTAACCATGACCACCGCTGTAAACACTTTACCACAGACAAAATAGCTAGCGATACGCTATATTGTCTGTGCACTTTACAGCGTAGGAGCTAGCTACGCGGAGTCCAGAGTTTTCCAAACGAATTTTGCAAGTGATCCAGATAACATTGTAAACTAAATTTAAATTATTTTTTTTGCTATGAAAATGTCTAGGTGGGGGCTCCACCCCAGAGTGCCCCCGCAACAGCCGCCACTCGTAAATTTCCTACTTCAGTATAAATTCAATAGAACTGATCGTTTATACTTATATTTTTTTATTTGAAAAAAAAAAGGCAAATGTTTGTCATTTCTTAGTGAATAACTTCCTATAATCGACATCTTCAATTACAGCCACTTGTATAATTGGTTGGTAACTTTAGTAACATAATAAATATCTGATAAAATTTAATCAAAGTATTCATGTAGAAAATACAGGGTGGCCAAATGAAAACGAAACAGAGCCATTTTCAGGAACTGCGTCAAGATTGTAGAAAAACGCTCAGACCCGTCGATTTTAGATTAAAGGGGGACATTCTTTGCTGGTATTTTTGACTCCGCCACTTTCACCCCCCAAGCAAGGGTAAGCATCACCCCAAAATATTTAAATGGCGTTGAGGGTTGAGTAATATTTCTTTTGAAAGCTCTTACAGTTCTCTTTACAACAGACTTTAAATTTTATAATTCCGCAATGTACATTTTAAAATTTAAATTATGTCTAGTTGCTTACTTACTACTTAGTTGATTAAATATTCAAACTGATGACCACCCGCTTCCATACAAGAATAAAGATTTTGTTTGAAACGGTCGCGCACATTCCGAAGCATTTCCGGACTGACTCGACGGCATTTGTCGACGATTCTTTGACGCAAATTTTCCAGCGACGCTGGCTGTGTTTTATAGATTTTACTTTTTAGGTTATTCCCGCAAAAAGAAATCCAGGGGCGATAAATCCGGTGATCGTGGAGGCCACTCAATGCTGCCTCTTTTCCCAATCCAATTCCGTAGAAAACGTTGGTCCAATTACTGACCGACAATTAACGCATAATGCGGAGGAGCACCGTCCTGTTGAAAAATCAAATGTTCTTCATCATACTCTGGAACATTTTCAATAATATCAGTCAAGGCAGGGTCAATAGCGTCTTCCAGTAATTACAAATACATTTGGCCAGTCAAATTACCAAGTAGAAAAAAGGACCCACCAGCCGGTCACCGAAAATTCCAGCCCATACATTTAATTTTTCCGGTTGCTGTGTATGCACCTCGTGAAAAACTCTTGGGTTTGAATCGAACCAATAGCGGCAATTGTGACGATTAACCGTCCCGTTCAAGAAAAAACTGCATTCATCAGAAAAACAGATGTTAAAAAGGAACTGTGGATCGTTCCCTGCCCTCTCGTCCATTATTTCGCAATTGCAAACGGCGGTCATAATCATCCTCATGAAGTTCCTGGAGTAAATGTATTTTGTATGGATGGAATTTATTCTTCTTCAGAATGGTTTGTATGCTAGTTCGATTGATCCCAGACACAGATGTCAGCTGCCTCGTACTTAATGTAGGATCAAGATGAACTTGTCCCAAAACTGCAATTTCACTAGCTTCATTAACTAGGTTTTTCAATTTCCCGTTTTTTATTAGCTACGTTCCCTGTTTCTTGAATTTTTTTTTACTCTAGAACATACTTCCTCCTGACTTGTCGATCTTAATGTTGTTCATTAAATAGCTGAGCTGTTCTATTCGCACATTGTTCATAAAGTAAAGCGAAATGATATCTACCCTTTCCGCAATGAAATAAACCATATTGTTTAATTTTCAAAAACACAATTAAATAAACTACCGACCAACGCTTTCAAATAATATTAGAAAATAATTTGGAATCCACTAGTTTTACGTTCATTGTGTGTATATAGCATTCATTTCTGTTCTTTACAATTGTGTTTTTCTTTACGAAAGTGATAACAAATCGCCAAAAACCAATGTAACGCAAGAAATACTAAATTTATACCATTGGCGTATTTGACTCGAATGATTGACATTTTTACCGTTACTAATTGTTTGTACAAAGTTTCAACTTTAAAATCAAAATTCTTAATAAGTATTAGGCGGAATTATAAAATTTAAAGTCTGTTGTAAAGAGAATTGCAAGAGCTTTCAAAAGAAATATTACTCAACCCCCAATGCCATTTAAATATTTTGAGGTGATGCTTACCCTTGCTTGGGGGTGAAAGTGGCGGAGTCAAAATACCAGCAAAGAATGTCCCCTTTAATCTAAAATCGACGGGTCTGAGCGTTTTTCTACAATCTTGACGCAGTTCCTGAAAATGGCTCTGTTTCGATTTCATCTGGCCACTATGTATATTAAATATAACAACAAGCGTAAAATGCTTCATATGTATAAGTATTTCGTCGTACACTTAATTTTTTGTATCTGCAATGAAATCGCAGAAGGTATGCAGACAAACTTTTAGCTAGATTATAAATTCTTCGTTTTTTAATTATTTTTAAGGAAAAGGGTATTACAAGACTGAGATAAAAAACTATGAAGGCAGAACCATTGATAGGTATTTACCATTGTTCTTTTATTGTAACATTTTAAAAATACCAAACTATTAGTACCATGTCTGTAAAATAATTGTTAGTAGTAAAAATTATAAATAAAATATAAACCTTACAGAAACTAGAACTTTTTTTTATTTACTGTCCCTTATGTACAACATGTAAAATAATACTTAGTCTAACTTAATTTACTTGTCTTACGAACTCATGTAAGTACTACAATTTCCTCATTTTATTACTGGCTACCCCTTCCTGTAGCTTTTGGATTAACGCAGACTTTGCAGCGTTAGCTGTCAAAGTGTCAAAGTCCCTAGGGAATTCCTCGCTGAGGTCGGCGATAACGTAGGACACCACAGCAAACAGAGCCGTTGCCTTGTCGAGGTTGTCCGGGTCCATAACGTCCATGGTGTCAGCTTCCGTGTGGTGGTACCAGAAATACCTATCGTTTGCGTTTAAAAGACTACCACCTGGTATGATGTTGGCCCAAATAGAAATGTCCGAGCCGACGCCACTGCTACTGTACTCTGTTTGAGTTGCATTGATAGGGGCTAAAAGTCTGAAAAAAGAAAATACTTCTGTATGACGTCGAAGTTTTGTAATAAATTTACTCACTTCATTATCTCTTGTATAATGCAACCACCTCTTGTACCAGCATTGTACTCCAGTCCCAAAGGAGTAAATGTCCCTTCGTCCGACTCCATGACGAAAGTGATGTTGTCTAGTTCATCAGCATGGTCTCTGTCGTAAGCATAGGCGCCAACCAAACCAAGTTCCTCTGACGTCCATAACACTGCTCTGAAAAAAAAAAGAGTTCTAAGTACAAGCACATTAATTCTGTAACCCTACCTTAAGGTCCTCTTTGCTCTGATTCCGAGCGATTTTAGAACAGCCAAAGCGTACCAAGAGATGAATGCACCACCACCGTCGTCCATGGCGCCAACTCCTACATCCCAACTGTCCAAATGGCCCGACACCAGCACTACCTTCTCTGGTTCATCGGATCCTTCCACTTCGGCCACCGTGTTTCTCGAGGTTGAATCGTTGAAGGTCTGGGCTTCGGATTTGAGTCGCAAAACAATTTTTTCTCCCCTATCCTAAGTATACATTCACATTTCAGACACAACTATCTGTTGACTTCGACGACTTACCTGATACCTCTGGAACATCTTGGCATCTTCTATGGTGATAGAAAGAGAGGGTATCTGCGTACCCGTACCATAGGACTGAGTTCCGGTGTGTAGGGTGTACAACGAGAAGGGGGCCACCGACCTGACGAGTGCAGCTACGGCACCGTGGATGGCGGCCCTCCTGGCACCCTGGCTTCTGTATTGGACCGATACCCCGTAGCTGACGAAGTCGTTATTAAAGACGACTATCTTCCCGTTAGCGGCCTCGGAGAAGTTGGCTTGGTCTAGTTCCTCGAACGAGCGTACTACGAGTACCTCGGCCTCGATGCCTTCTTCCGGGGTGCCTACGGAGTTGCCCAGAGCTAGAACCGCGATCTCGGCTTCCCTGGGGGAGACCATTTGTGCCGATTCGTTTCCTCTGAAAGTGGATTATCACGTTTTGTAATTTTCCAATTTTTTTAGGAGATATTATAATTTAATATAACATCATTATCAAATAAAATAAACAACATTATATCTAACATGTCTATTTACATTTTTTAAAGACTGGGATTATCAGTTTCCATTCATATTGAGTATCATCATGTCATTAAAAACTTGACCTCAATAATTATTATTATGATAACTGAGCAATAATCAAGTTTACTTGTTCTTCCTAGATGGTTGTGATTTGTTTCAATTTTGCAAAATCGCATCTGGATGTATTACTATTCTCATCAAAAGAAAAAACATTGAAAAAAGCACTTTTTGAAAGAGAAAAAATTATTGAATCTATGAGGAAGAATATAGAAAAAAATACTACCTATTGTGATAACCTAAAGCTAATAATAATCAATAGAAAATATATTATTGCTATATATATATTGTTTAATATAGATTACGTGGCCTATAAATCAATATTTATTTATTGATTTAATAAGCAATAATACAATAATAGATTTTCACAGTGTTAAAATTTTTCATTTTCCCATAACGATAACGTGGCAATAAAAAATGGGCACATAAACACCTCCGAAGCCACAAATTTATTATAAAAATTACTGCCAAACACCTACAATATTATTTTCTATCATTGTACACATTAATTTATGACATTTTATCACAATTTTTATTTCCCCTTATTACCACTTCTTTGGAAAGTAGTACATCTTTGCATATTATCACCTACTTCTTTGGATTCACTCGAAAATTAAAATTATTCACTTATTATATATATTATTTAATTATATTCAAATTGTTACGTGTCTCAAACGGATGTTCTTAAGGGCCCCATATTCTTTAAATAGTGTTTTCCGCAAAGACAAATAATTTCAAACATTTAATAACTGAATAATCTAAAGCTTATCAAATAATAGGAATGTTATGTCATGCCATCTGGGTATTTTCAAAGACGCCGCAGTAAAACGAATAAACAGGTGCAAAAAACGATCAAACCATCAAGGTTTTAGGTACTGAAATTTAGGAAAATACTAACTTTTTTATATATAACTCTACATGTAAATATTCTTATAACATTTACTTGCTTAGTCCTACATATAAAATTGTTCACTTTTATTTATAAGTACGTGAAAATAATTCTTAAAATGTGCGGTTAGAATAACAGCAAACGCATGTTTTAGAAACGCTTTTTTTTTACTTATTATTTTATTTGAGTAAATTTAAATGGTAACAATGAATAAACAAAACGTCAAGGATTTCATTTTTGAGCTTACTTTTGTTCTACACGTTTTACTTTTAAAGATTTCAGTACCTAAAAACGCCAGAAATTTCACTATTTCTCGGCCGGGAATATGGCCACCTTTTAACGAATTTCTGAAACATTTAAAATTTTGAACATACTCCACGTTTGGTACGAATGAATCGGTTGATCGGATCTAGTCGACACTACGTCACGCAGCATCGCAACAACAGTTGCCGGTTGTCGTCTATTTTCAAAATGGTGGTGTGCACGCGTCTCTCTACTCTCTCTCGATCGAAAAACAACTTTTATCGTGTTAAATATTGAAAATATACGGAAATTGTAAAAAACTGTGTGTTTGCAAGTGGTGTTTAAGTGTTATACAAGCGGTGATGGACCTAGGAACGATGTTACGGTGCGAGAAGGTAAACAAACTTTTGGAACTAATCTGTAGTACCTTTGTCGCTGATATATTAAAAAGGTAAGTTGTATTACTAGTAATTACCATTAATTTGTTGTTTCTGTTCGTTATAACATGACATAAGGGCCTAATAGGTTTTGAGTTTGAGCACCGGTTAAAAGGTTTGGTTAATAATCAAGGGATTAGACTGTGAATTCTCAGTAACTTGTGCCACATCTTTATTCACAATCTAATCGCCGATTAGCCAATCTAGTCTCGATAGGCACTCAAAATACTGTTCATTGTTAGCAAGAAACTTAAAAAAAGGTTATATTAGATTATTCCTGTGGTTAAAGGTATATTAGCTTTTAAAAAATTAAGGTATAAATCTTGGTATAAATAAGACGGCAAAATCATCTACTAAAAATGGAAGTGTGTAATATAATAGGGACATGTATAATTTCATATTTCTCTAGAAATTTCTCACAAAAACTGAAAGGCAGTTTTTACTGTATTCTTTCATATTCCTCGATGAACTGAGTGTGCTGCTGTGACCTACTACGCTTTGTGGTTTTGGTAGTGCAGTCGTTCCGATAAATATACATCGTCAGTAGTATAACAATAATAATATTACTGTCTAATTTGTGGCGTTTATTTATTTATTTTTGTTTATTTAATTAGGGTATTTTCAAGAAGGGATTATTTCTTTTCATTGTGTCGGAAATATCCAGTTATATAAAAAAGTAATAATGTTAAAATATATGTAGTATATTACAAAGCGAGTTATTCTTCACAGATACCTACCTATAATCTAATTAATTTTACTTTGCAGAAAATACTTTCCTTGTTTTCTTATCTATTATTAATTAAATATAATTAGTACCTATAGTCAAAGATAAACTGTATAATGAATTTAGTTTAGCAAAGGTATACTTACTGTATGTATGAAAACAGTTCAAAAATGAGTGAAATTGAAGAAAACGTGTCATATTTCTGAATGCATACAAAAATAAAAAATATTTTAATAGCTTTAGACACAGTAAAATTTACAAGGGTACATTCATTATTAAAAAATTACAGTATTAGGTATTTAGATTATTAAATTACGCACATATATTTAATATACTCATATTCATGATAGGGATGTTTGCTAAATATTGAAGAAATCTAGGAAATCTTCATGTAAACATCATATTTTTGAGATTGTGTTAGATTTTTTTATATTGTTTCAATGACAGTTTCATCATGACTAAGCTGATTTCTGTATCTAAATTTTTAGTCGAGTACCTACATGATATATTTTATTAAAACTACACAATTTAGTTACTTTTATTTCAACAAGGTTAACTTGAAAATCATTAATTTCAAATTTAGTCATATGTATGTATTTCAGGAAACGTCAATTGTATCTCGTAACACCTGATCAGTTTTATTTTAGAAAATGGTAATTTATATTTCAATGTGTATCTACGTGTATATCGCCTACTGATAATAATAATACTTTTGACGAATTTTGAAATTTAATTGACATTTTCTAAGCAGCAAAAATGTCAAATTTTTTGAAAAACTTCGAAGCACTAAGAAGGCTTCGATCTCTTTTTTTTTTTTTAAAAGTACCACCCACCTTGAATGGCTAAATGCCCTGCATACAAAACTACATTTACTTATTGCTTCTTGAAACGATTTTCCGTCTGAAAATAAAGACTTGCACACGTACCTTTCCCAGTGGGGCACCTGGAGCTCTTCCCCGTGGACGTTCTCCAGTTCGTACTGGTTGAGGAGATCCAGCATGTAGTCTATCGAATCCTCCAGGTTCTGCGTTCCCGATAGCCTCGGCCCGAACTTATCGACGAAGTCCGTCAGCTCCTTGTAGGTGCCTCCCTTGAACTTCCCGTTGGTCAGCGAGTTGATGATGGTGTTCGCCGTCGTTTGGTAGGCTGCGATTTCAGCGATCAGCTCCGCCGACAGGTCGCAGGCGTCGTCCCGGGCGTCGGTCCTGTCGACGTCGTCGTCCACCTCGTTGTTGGACACGTCGGTGGCCACCGTCGCGACGCACAGCAGCAGCGGGAGGAGGTGGTCGATCTTCATGCCTGGCGTTGGACGTGTCGCTCGGATTTCGGATTTGGAATGACTTAGTGTTGTGTTTTATTGGTCTCGATAACCTCTGCGCGAGATTTTGTTATCAGACGGGAATCTTGGGGTTTATCGCGCGGGTCTTAAGAGGATGCGGTTTTGTAGGAATTACACGGCCTGGAAATGAAAATCTACTTTTGGAAACGTTGATATTAACAGAGTTTTTGCTAAAAAGATGTCGGATGACATGCACAATGCCCTCGTGCTCTATATCTGTCAAATTTACAATTTTTTAAATGCCAAGAATGGCTTTACATACATATTTCGAAAAAAATCAGAGGGAAAATTTGTTTACACTTTATTAAGAAAAACTAAAACGTGTATGTTAAAGGTGGTGAAAATTTTCGGTAAAACATGTTTAGTAAATGACTGTTTAGTCATGTGTTTTACATATCTTTATAAAGAACAAAAATGAACAATATTTCATATAAAATGTAGGTCTTCCATCATTAATTGATTGTGGATTACCTTCAATCAATTATACATATTTTAAAAATCATACTTAAGCGCCCAACAATTACATATGTCAAATAAACGTCACATATATTTTTTTTAAGGCTTAAATCAATTCATTCACGGGCTCACGGATATATAAAATTGAAATAATCCCCTTTTATCTCTATTACTCGGATAAATTTGTGTTAATCTGCAATATTATTATTTATGGTTGGATTTATCTCGTTAGTACTATCACCAGAAATGCAGACATTGTATTGGGATTAATTTAATTTAATTGCGCGAAATTGGATCTTCGTTTAGATAAAAGATTTCTGTCAAATCATAAATATAAGTTAATATTTTAGGGGAAACATTCTAAGATAAAATAAATTAATCCTAGAATTAATTTGCTAGGCATTTAGACATGTCTAGAAATGCGAAATAAGTTTTTTAATGTACAATTTTTTTTTAAAAAGCCCTCATATTTTGGACAATGTGTACATAAATAGATGTGTCCAATTTCAAATTATTTCACTTACTCACTTTTAAATTATTTAAAAAATTAAAAATATTTGTTGTACTTTGTAGAATTAATTTGCTGGGCATTTAGACATGTCTAGAAATGCGAAATATGTTTTTTTAATGTACAATTTTTGGTCGTTTGGTCGAATTTTTATTTGTTAAACACTGTGATTTTTTGTAAAATGGTCGATTTGTACGCAGTGGCGTACACGATATTTTTCTACAACTTCGTATTTCCTAATAAGAAAGTTAAAATAATTTTTCAAATGAAACATATTTATGTTTTTGAAAAGAACCTAAAATTTCCTTTCAAATAATGTGTAATCTTTAAAAGAGTAATGTTTTAAAAAATATTTTTTGTAGCATTTTTTGCTGAAATATGTAATACATTTATTTGCTTTTGAAATTTTACATCCATTAAAAATCAAAAAATCTATTAAATAATATTAAAAAAACATAAGGTTATTCTCTAGTAGGCTGTGATTGAATAATCGTAAATTATAGAAAAATATCGCGTACGTCACTGGATTTTACGTTAAAAACCTCTTTAAGACAGACAAAAAATTTTGATAAATAAAAAAATTATTAGACAACACAAAACATGGCAAAATATGAAAAACGCGCACATAATTTTTATCAATTTCCTCGTCAATTTCCTTGTGCCATACACAGTTTTAAAAAATACTGCTTTAATTTTACATTTTCTAGTTCAAAAGATTAAAAAATCATTTGTAACTGTTAAAATCTCTTTCTAGCTTTCGCTTGATTAAGTAGGTACCATTTTAAACTTTTATATACAAGGTGATTCAAAAATGGTGACCAAAAATGAAACCTCTTATTCTTTGGTGAATTTTAAAGAGAGTTTTTCCTGTAAAGTTTTTATCTAGGGCGCTTCGTTAAAAAGATACATACTTAAAAAAACATTTTAAATTTTTTTAAATAATTTAAAAACTAGTAAGTGGAATAATTTTAAATTGGTCATTGTATTTATGTAAACATTGTCCAAAATCTGAGGGCTTTTCCTAAAATTTACATCTCCAGTTGCGCAGATACATGGTACCTATCGGTGGCATATTTTTCTAAATAAAATAGCACGCTACTGCTTTACGGTAACTACCATACGCCTACCATATATGTATGTTTTCGGATTCGTCTTTCAATTTTCTACAAACTACTACTCTCTTATGTTTTTCGAAAAAAGCTGCCAAATTTTGAACAATGTTTACATGTGTCTGATTTCAAATTATTTCACTTACTAGTTTTTAAATTACTTAAAAAAATTAAAAATATTTTTAAGTAATTAAAGATTAAGATACCCTGTATTTTTTATTTTAAAATTCACCAAAGAATACGAGATTTCATTTTTGGTCACCATTTGTGAATCACTCTGTATAAGTTTTCAAGTTCACATGTTCTTAAATTGAAAAATACCTTGGTATTTTTAATTTGCATAGCTCACCTCATGCTGTATTATTGCGGACATTTTAAATTGTTTGTTTAGAAAATAAGAAATAAGACATACAAAAATTTACTGACCAAATAATAAAAAAGTTGCAATTATTTACTTCTAATATACGAATATTACATAGAATCTGATGAGAACAATATCGCAGCAGTTTAATAAATAGTATACGTTAAATGTGGATTAATCAAAATCATATTCAGATGATTTTATGGACTAATAAAGACACTTATCAACTTAAAATGCACTAAAAAAGCAATCACACTGTTGACATTTAATATACCCTGTATAGTAATAAAAGTAATAGTGATATATCGTCTAATTTTTATAGCTATTACGATTGTTAGTGATTTAATCCTCGTTTTATTACTACTTTCTAAACAAATAATGCTTACTTTCGATGTAAACAGATCTACCTATTCATAACCAAAACTACGCGATTTCTTAAGTAGGTTATACATTTGCCGAAATCACATCGCGGCACATCACAGTACTCGTGCACGGTTACGTAACAATTGTATAATGAACAAATGAACCTTTATTACCTTCTTCTCTTTCTGCTTCGAGTCTCTCTCATTTAAATGGTTTGTTGGTGTTGGTAGTCGCGCATATCGACCGTACCGTCGTGACGTCACCATTGCGGTCAAATCAAATTACACGACATTTGCTCGCAAAGAAAAATAACGTGAGTTTGCCGTGGTCAATGCGTTTGTTCGTTTTTTGTTTCTAGAAGGGATTATTGGTCGTGTTTGCGGTTTGTTTGTGTGAGAGAACGTGTTATTTCCAAAAAATATTTGATGGAATACCAAACAGATATCAAATAACAAGTCTGTTGGAGATAATTGAAATCGCAATGTTTTTAGTACATATATGGTTACACAATGGAGTAGTTAAAAGGTGCGGATGATTATACGGGGCGTAAACAAAAAGTAAATGAAATAAAAAATTGTAAACATATTTTATTTAACTTTGTCTTCTATGTACAATAATATACCTATATTAATAGAACCAAACGCCAAACAAACTTAAAAATACGACATAAAAAACGTTGGCGCTTGCGTAGAATCCGCTGTCGGTTAAGGCTCTGGGAAAGTCTTCATTCAAGTCGGCTACTATGTACGCCACTGACGCCCATAATGCGGTCGCCCTGTCTAGCGCGTCTGGATCTAAGGCTTCCATGGTATCTGCCTTGGTGTGGTGGTACCAGAAGTAGTTGTCGTTCTGGTTGTACAAACTCCCTGTCGGTAGGACGTCCTTCCATATCGTTATGTCGGAACCAACACCGCTTGTAGATCTTACCGCTTGGGTGGCGTTAATGGGTTCCAGAAGCCTGCAAAGAGAAGATAATTGATTATTCTTTACAATAAAACTGTTAATCTAAAGGTATATAATCTTTTCGTGAGTTATAAATTTTCTTCATACGTAACGGTACATTTCTTACTTCAATATTTCCGTTAAAATGCAGGTTCCTTTAGTGTTAGCTATGAATCTAAGACCTAGAGGAGTAAAGGTACCATCGTCTGATTCCATTACGAAAATGAAATCACCTAAATCGTCTTTGTGCAGCTCATCGTACGCTTTGACACCTGCCATTCCGTTTTCCTCCGCTGTCCATAGAACAGATCTATAAAAGAAAATTGCTGGGTTAGATTCCCATCTACTAGCTCTCCATCACGTATTTTATTGTGGTTCACGCCTGAAGCTTTATTAGGTTAGATTCTGTTTAGATCTTCTTGTGGTTTGTCGAAGAAAATTGAGTTCCAAAATTGATCTTCCTTACCTAACCGTCCTTCTGGCTCTCAGTCCCAAAGATTTCAAGACAGCCAGTGCGTACCAAGAAATAAACGCACCACCTCCATCATCTAAAGCACCAACTCCAACGTCCCAGCTGTCCAAATGTCCCGATACGATCACCACCTTGTTGGGTTTCTCAGATCCCACAATTTCTCCAACCGTGTTTCTTGATGTAGCGTCTGCTAGAGTTTGAGTTTGTATATTTATTCGTATCGTGACGTTTTCACCTCTTTCCTGAAATAGTACGCAATCAGGGAGTTAAAAAATACGTTTTCGATTTGTACCTGTCTCCTCTGTAGCATGTTAGCGTGCTCGACGGTTATAGCAGCCGCGGGTATTTTCGTGACCCCATCCTCGTAGGTGGTCTGGCCGGTATGAGGGGAATCCATGGAGAAATCGGTAACGGACCTTATCAGGACGGCGACGGCGCCGTGATTGGCCGCCGCCACCGGGGCGTCGTAGCGGTGGCTCACCGAAACGCCGTAGGAGTGGTAGTCGTAGTTGATGACTACGATCTTGCCGTCCACGGCGTCGTGGTAGTTGTTGTGGATGTCTTCGGCAGAACTGACGACGACCACTTCAGCTTCTATGCCATCTTCGGGGGTGGACACGGAGCCGCCCAGGGCCAGGAGTGGGATCTTGGCGGATATGGGTTCTACCATCTCGGCCCACTCTGATATTCTGGAAGTTAGTTATTTGTTTATTTGACCAACAGATGAAATATAAATACATCCATGTATGTAAATGGTTTGTCGTTTATTGTGTAATGAAATATGAGCAGAAGCTCCCTTACATTTAGAAATATTTTCGTTACAAATTATTGGCATCACACCATTCTACTAATTTAATTAACTGTAAATTGTTGTAAACTGAATATTTTTAAATCATCGGTACAAAGAACGTGGCTAGCTCTTAAAAATCGTTCACAAAGAGCAAAAATAGAAATGGGCTGAGATTAGACTCCTGTGGTACTCCTGAGATAGCCATAAATATGTCTCTAATTATTTGTGAAGGGACGATTTTTGAAATACTTTAGAAATCGCATCGCTTACCTTTCCCAGTGGGGCACCTGGACGTCTTCCCCGTGGACGTTCTCAATATCAAAGGTACTATTCATCCTTTCCAACAAGTAATCAATGGAATCTTCCAAGGCTTGCGTCCCGGACAACCTCGCCCCGAATTTGTCCACGAAGACGGCCAGCTCTTCGAACGTTTCGCCCTTAAACTGGCCATTGGTAGTGGCCTCGATAATTTGGTTGACTACATCTTGGTAGGACTGGATTTCTTCGATTTCCGCTTGGGATAGGTTGCAGTCGTCAGCTCTGCTGATTGTCCCCCACAATAAGAAGACTAAGACAAGCTTTATGGCGGACATGGTACCGACTCAGCGGTTTGGACGGTTGTGATTCGAGTGTCTCTATCAATAAAAAATGTGTTTTATTGTGGGGGGATAAAGGGATTATCAGATGGAGGTGTAACGCTTAAGGGGAACTGGCTTGGTTTTAACGGCGTTTTCGACTTATTTTACACTTTTACGGAAAAACGAGGGACTAGAAATTCTCGAAAAATACTATTGAAATATATAGAAAATGTCTTACAATTAGGTCATCAACAACAACACCTCGATTGATGGACAGATATTTGTTCCTACAAGTTCCATAAAAGTCTCTTTAAAAAGCATTTCCAGTCCAGTATGTCAGTTTTTTACATCTTTTTTTTTTTAAGGCAATTTTGGGTTAAATTTTTTCTTTTATTTTTGTAGCCTAAAATAATTTCTGCGTAGTGTGATGATGAGGTAATATTCAAAATACAGTTTTTTTAAGCAGTCGTTCTTTAGATAAATTGGATAATTGCTGTCGCATGCCTTAATTCGGGAATTATACAGTTTAAGTACTTTAACCCAATAAAACCTTATAATCCGTAAAACAAAAGGATTTCGCATGTCTGGACTATTATCGCTTGTTTGATAAAGCCAGCGGAAAAGTAGATCAAACAATCCAAGGTGAAAATGAAAACATTCTTATAAATGTAGTAATGATTTAATACAACATTTCAAAATGCAATTTTTAAATGTCCTGATAACATTTTCCCCTTGTCGTTTTTATTTTTATCGAAAGAAAAAAATTTCTGCACCAAAGGTTTAGGGTCCATCTGCAATTACAAAACAATGATATTAAGACATGTACTAAACATTTTTTTTTAATTCTGTTTCCTTAGAATTACTGGAATTACTGGATTACCAAGTAAACGGGGCAAAAGTTGCGACGAATTAGAAATATTTTCGAAATATATTTTCCCTTAATTAAGTACCTACTAGTTTTGGGAATTTACATGATCCAAATTTTTTTGCTTTAATAGATTTCTCAAAATTTCCCGAATATGTAAACAAATTTCTCGAAAAATCGTTTGAATGTATATTACAAATGTATTCACACATTTTTGAAATAGATAAGTTGAAATACGAACTTAGTAAGTACAGAGACGAACAATTTCGTAATTTAGAAGTTCAAAAAAACGATAGAAATGTTATACAAGGAATTTAAAATAGTATTTTCGGAAACGTACAAATTGTTTTGTCCAGTTTTAACAATTCCTGCAATAAGCGTCTCGGTAGAAAGAAACTTTTTGTGTCTTAGACGCATTAACACTTAGATAAGATTTGCGAATTTAAAAGACGGACAAATGAACCTGTTTTATAAAAACATTCACTAAGTTTTTTTTAAAAGTGGAGGCAAACGAAAATCTAGCCGGCGTTGTTTTTTATGTAAATAGATAGCAGTAGTAGTAAGGCTGGCTACCTTATGAAAATTTGTTTTTATGTTTTTTTTATATTTTTTAATATTTATAAACCAAGTAGGAACAATTTTGTTATTTATTAGGTAAATATATCACTTTGTTTTTTTGTGTTACTTAATTTTATTGTAAATACAATGTTTAAAGTTCTGATATTAGGTATTATTATTAATATAATTTTTTAATTTGCGGTTATAGCAGAGCTATTTGCGAAGATCTCCATAGTAAAAAATGACGTGGAAATTTATTCCTATTTATTATTTGAAAGCTGATTAATAAAATATCCAAATAATATCAAATATTATTTTTGATAAAATCGGGAATGAGCTCGTGAACATCAGTCTTTCTATAATATTGTAAATGTAACTGAAGATTGCAAAAATTGAATCTTTTGTTAATTTTTGTTCTTAATTGTCACTGTATTTAGGGGTTATTTTATTTTTTCGCACTTGTTACCACATGCACCCTCCTTACAGTAATAGTAAGAATCCGGTGAATTACTTCCACTTTGTTGAACATTTGTTCATTAATAATTTTAGTTTGAAACTTGAAACACAATACTCTTTCCTTAAGGAAGATTTAAATAAAGGTAATGACAGACTAAAATTGAAGTAGTAAGTCCTTTGTTTGCTACAAAGAAAAGATGCAAAAGGCGCGCCATCAGCGGTTACAATTTCACTTTTTTATGTTGGGGTGATTCCAGAAGTTCTCGATAAGTTTTAACAGTTCTAGTTATTAATTTTTAAGCAGAAAATGTTTATTATTAAGGCTTTCTGCTTACTCTCAAAGAAATCATCGCCAAAGCCTTAATAAATCCTACAGAAAATTAAATTTTGCATTTGTCAAATTTAACAGTGATCTATTTAAAAAAATCCAGTTATCCATGATCCAAAACTTAGAACTTCTGACGCGTTTAATGACTATTTCGTATTATTGATATTGCCAGTGGAAGAACCCGTCTTAAGTGGTACACCCAGTACGTAACTTTACACCATCACACCCTCCCACTGACGTCCGCCCACTGTGTAACCGACTCAAAGTTAAAAGGGCTTCTACACCACCTACACAGAAAACACATTTAACAGAGCTTTATTGATCATATTATTTATTTAAGTGTTTACCCATTTGTTTTGTCCGTGCTCAACAACCGGGCTTGTCGACTCCCTGAAGAATAAAAATGTTAGCGTGAGTTAGCGGGAAAAGGCAGAGGAAAAGGCAGAGTTATCTATTTCTTTCAGATGGTCTGCGGTCGATTGTTTATTCCTTGGAATTGAACGGTAATTCGTTGCTAAGGAACGTCGACTGGGCAACCGACGTAGGCGTGTCTCTACAGGGCGAGCGAAAAAAAAGAAGCAGGTTTTTAAAATCGGTAAATGCTTTTTTTTTAAATCGATTGCAAAGGTAAGTGGGAAATTTTTGTCTCCTGGTGATGCACACAGAAAATGTAAACAATAGTATTAGTAAAAATAAATAATTGCTTTCACAAGACACATAAGTGGTCTGTTCCTTATACAGGGTGATCCATTAACGGTACGGAGCAGCTGTATATAGGCAACTAGATGTGCTACAATTACGGGGTAAAAAATCTATCGACGAATACGACCAAAAGAAATTGATTTAAAGTGTTTTCAAGTTTGTAACTTCACCGCTAGGTGGCGCAATTGCTATAGTATTACAGGAAATTGTCGTTTTTTTGAAATTTCGCTTATATAACCTAAGTTGAAAATATGCTTTTTAGATACACTGTTAAACCCTTCACAAGTTTTGTTAGAACTTTTTTTCATTATTACCATGGCAGCGCCAGTGTGAAGGACGCCATCTTGAAATTTTTTATTTAATGTAACGATATAGTTTTTTTTCATGGCATGATGGACCATTTGGGTATGTTGTTTTATTATAAGTGCTCTAAAGTTTTTTTTTAAATTAGAATGCCCTCGGAGCAATTAAAGTATTTAAAAAAAATTATCCAAAAAACTTGATTATTTTGCCTTTTTTTTCATCAATTATTGCTATTTTGCAACATCGGTGATAAATTTAAACGTTCTTAACCTCCAGCAAATTGTGCAAAATTCAATTCTAAAACTGTTTTTCCCTCTTCAATATTCTTCCAAAATGCATAGGTTCCAAGATATAAGTAAAAAACTCAGATAAAATAGATATTTTTTAATTTTTTTTTACCAATTTAACACTAATTTTGCACGTTGCAAGAGCTGTCATATTTCGTTTGGTATAATTATTCAATTGTCTATTTTCATAGGGCATAGCCTGCCTCGTTATGAAAACAATAATCTTTATAAATACTCAGATATTTGGAATTAATAAAAAAATTAAAAATTGTACCTACATATTAAAAAAATTTCAAAATAATGCAAGTACTTTTTAAGGACAATCTTGGTATAGTTTTACAATATAATGCTGGCTTGGACTATGTTAATGTTATTTAGAGAACTAAATAAAGGAGGATGTTCTAGCACAACTTCACTATTTTAGCGAATAACGAAAAAATATATCGACCGCCGGTTTCTGTATTTGTTTTCCATAATAAATGGTCTATTAAGCCAGCAAAAAAACCTATATCGTTGCATTTCATTTTTTTAGTAAACGGAGACAATTACAGAACTTTTCTGATTAGAGTCGATTACCGTTGCGCAGGAAAATAATATTTTTATTCCCATATCATAAATATAAATTTTATTATTTATTCTTTAAAATGAGCCATCGTTTATTGATATCGATTAAGGCATTTAGAAGTTATGGCAATTTAAAAATTTCAAGATGGCGCCTTTCATACTGGCGTTACTAAGGTAATAAAAAAAAAAGTTCAAACAAAACTTGTGAAAGGTTTAAAAGTGTATTCTCAAGTGAAATTTGGAAAAAACGACAATTTTCTGTAATACTATAGCAGATGCGCCCTCTAGCGGTGAAGTTACAAACTTGAAAATATTTTAAATGTTTTACCCCATAACCGTACCGTTAATGGACCACCCTGTATAATTTGAGGCGCTGAATCCGAATCTAGGGCCAGAATTGCTCCATCGCCTCAATTTTTTTTAATCACTTGATGCAGAAAAAATGAGAAACTGTATATTTCAAAAGTAGAGGGAGTCCAACTTTATCTTTCATTTCCTCTAGCATTTTTGAAAGTACGAATACATCTTAAAGTTTCATTAATTTAGTCTTTGAAACAGACCACTCTTTTTTTTGCGTGCCTGTGAAAAATTGTCTAATCTTTCGTAATTCAACTTTTGTGTCTCCAAAAACAAGGAAGCGAACATTAGTGCCCACTTGATTTGAAAAGCAGTGTATTAACATAGGTTTAAATGTTCGTTTCATTTCGGTATATGAGAAATACTTGTAATACCGTCTTAATGTAATACAACAAAATATTCAATAAAAAGGGAATTACCAGGTCCTACCCGAGCGCCCACCAGCTGCGCCGCTGCAGAGTGAGGGGGATGCGACTCCTACACAAAATTTAAATTTAACCTAGCATTATTGATTAAAAACATCGCAAATTACCCACCGTTATCTTCGAAAAACTTGAACATACATGCAAAAACGTATCTCGGAGTGCCATACGTACACCACCCGGTGCTTCCTTCCCGGTTTCTCCAGCCGTCCTGCCTTTTTCTGAGTTTTATAGGTGGGCAGTCGACGAAAGTACACTACCCAATCTTTAAAACCCCAAAAAAAGACAATATCGTTTGCTGTCCCGGGGCTCCTTCGTCTGCTGGTGTTCTGGCGTCTGTCCTACCACTATAAAATTCACACTCACTTTTACTACAATCAAAACATTTTCGCACGTCCTATTCATGAATGAACCAAGACATGAATGAAAAATACTATGTGCCATCTACATACCCACCGCCTCTATGTGGGCAGGACTCTGTTGCAGGATTCTTTATAGAGGGGTATAGCAGTCTAGGTTTCTGTACCGTGACCAGTATGGTGGCGCTCGGGTTGTCTTTAGTTCATCTATTGGTTACTAGATGGCGAGAAACATGAAATTTAATATAAATTATTCTATTTCTCCCGATCACCCAATCATTATTTTAAAATGATTGTACTGGTCTTGTACTTTATAAACTAGATTTAATTCTAATTGCATCGTATCGGCCACGAATAATTATACAAGCAAATTTAGTAGTGTACCATACTATCTTTTTCAGTCATTTTTATTAAAAAAATTAATTGTCTCTAAAACTAGCGAAAACAACGACATAAATACCTTAGAAGGGTACGAAACGGTACACTGAAATTAGTACAGTCCATCTAAAAATGCTTGAGAGTTATTCATCATTATCCATAGGCGTGTGTGTTTTTGGGAAAAGGTTAAAAATAATCAGAATATGGTAAATATGTAGAAAGAAAATTTTTATTTTATTAAAATTTCATTGATTGGTTGATTCATTATTTCATACTTATACAGATTAATGCTCTTTCTAGAAAACACCAAAACCACCGAATTTCTACAGTAATGAAAAACAATAATAAAGCTTTGTCAAAATTAAAAATATGAAACTTCTTAAAATAAATATGTTTTAGTAATTATTATCCAAAATTAAATAATTATCCAAACTAAAAATTATATATTTGAATAACATTGATTAAAAAAAAACGACATACCTGATATATCGAAAGAAATACCTTTTATACTTCTTTCTATATTCTATCATAATCCCTTAACAATCAACTATCAATGACCTTCTAAATGGATGTTTCAATACACAGCCAAACACAAAAAAAAGTTTTATCGTTTTTATAAAGATTTACAAAATTCGTTTTTAAAAATTTAATCAGTGTACTTTAAGAAGGTTAAAACATGATTGGGTACTCTGGTTATAAAGTAAACAAAAATATTACAAAATGAATTTCGCAATTTTGACCTCGAATTCGTGATCAGCGACCCCGAAAACCCCCCTATTCCAAATTTGGCGCGAATCTGTTATGTTTTGAAAATTCGTGATATCTGACTTTAATTGACCCGTTTTTTTTGTTAGAAAAAGAACATCAATTCTGACCACGGATTCACGTTCGGCGGTGTCTTAATCATATATATGAACATTTGAATATAGGAAAAAATTTTTTTTTCACTTTTCCTAGCACTTAGTGAATTTTTGCAATTTTTGACCTGTTTTTTGAGGTTAGGAAATTCCTGTGATGTGATAGCTCAATTCTGACACCGGATTCGTGATCAGGAGGCAAAAATACTACTGATAGCATATGTCGCATGAAAAGTACAGAAGACTTTTTTTTTGTGTGTCTGTGATATTAATAAAACTAAAAAATATATAGAAAACGCAGAGCTTTTAGGAAACAAGAAAATTTTAAACATTGTCAAAAGTGGTCACAATACGTCTAGTTTTTTTCTTAACTTACAAAAATTTGCCCTTTTTGTTTGATTTCATTCAATATTTTTAGGAAAATTTTTAGAATTAATTTGAATTAGCTCAATACTTTTAAAATAAAGTAAAAGTACAGGAGCTAATAATAAAATATACAGGGTGGGCCATTAGTGTAAGAACGTAAAATAACCCCTTGTTACTTATAATACAGGAAAAAGTTCATATAAAAGTTGTACAGAATCAAGAAATCTAAACGACAAAATTAATTTGAGACATACAGGCCGATGAGTACAAACGGGACACGCCAAATATTACATTTTTTAAATAGAACACCCTGTATATTCTTAAACATATGGGTTTCTGCGAAAATTCTATATATTATGACAACATAAACAGTTTAACATTTTAGTGGGGAGTTAATTTTAATTATTTTATAGAATATCAACACATAAATATTAACTAATAAAATGAACTCAAAATGTAATGATAAATTATGAACTGACAAGTTGACACAATGTAACAGTTTTTTTCCAGTCATCTCGTGCGACCGAAAATAATAAAAATTATATTTTTGTTTTCAGAAATGTTGCTATATCTTAAAAACTAACAACTTTGGGTGTAGTACACGCTTAATAAAAGTTGAAGTGGACTGATATATGAATAAAATAGAACAACGAAATGGTGTCCCATTTGAAAAATGTTGAAAGTTTGAACTTTCTAATAATCGATTGTATATGATTTTTTTTCTAACATTTGCCTATAACTGTCAAATATTTTTGCTTTAAGTGTTGAAAGTTAATAACTTCTTCGAGGTTATGTTTTTTCAAAAAATTGGAAGAATTTTCTACATAACTTGGCAACCCCACACTAAAATGTTAAACTCTTCATATTGCCATATACAGAATTTTCTCAGAAATCCATTATGTTTAAAAATATAAAGGGTGTTCCATTTAAAAAATGTTATATTTTTTGTGTTCCGTTTTTACTCATCTCCCTGTATGTTCTGTATTCTGAATAACAAGGGAGTTATTTTACTTTCTCACACTAATGTCCCACCTTGTATTTTTTAAAAAGAAATTTAGTAAAAAGGGATTAGCTAATCAATCTTTTGCTTTGGTGCTGACAGATATTCTGGTTTTATTACCATTTGTAAATACACATTTTAATAGATGTTTTCTGCAAAATTTGAGGAATTTTCTAAAAACTTTGGTAACGCTAGATGTGTAAAACTATTTACGACATATATTTGTTTTGACAGTTTTCACAATATTTTGGTGTATTTTGTCAGTGATATTCCATTGATTTTTGTAATAGTTTAATTTTATTCCGATTAAATATCGTATCTTTATGTCACCACATACAGGGTGTATTGCTGGGTGTGTGGCATTGCAATTTTTATTCCCAACATTTTACATGCTATAAATTTTTTTTTTATTATCGGGATTTGAAAGAATACACATAGGTTGATTTTATTTGTATTATATTTTTGTAAAGACAAAATATTACAATAAACTATATAATAAAGAAGTACTTATCTTAAACTAAATAAAAACTATACAATATTATATTTAAAAATCAATAAAATCCTTAGCAGCTAAAGGTAGGTATTTTTGCGATATAATAAAAATTTTCTATATTTACACTGTATTATAGTATTTCTATTGCAATATCACCAAATTTTTAATATATATTTTCCTTAACGATTTTTATGTTACATGGTCCTAAATACCTTTATAATTAATAACTTCATTAGTGATGTGGTCAGCAAATCAGAAGTGGGATAGTGGATGTTACGTTTCATTTATCAATCGACTCTCGATTCGTCGACGGATAAATGAAGTGTAGGTGGTAATTTCAAACTGGCAGACAGATTCGGATAAAGATACAACAAACAAAAAGACATTCAACATGTATAACAAATATTATTTATGCTAAAAAGGTGACAGTTAACAATCATGCAAACATATCACATGTTTTTTGGACGTTTAATAACAGTTTTTTGTTTGTTGTGCACATGAATACATATATATTTCTCTACACATAGTTTATTTTATTAATATGTATAAATTTTTTTCACTGAGAGAAATCCTGGGTTAGTTACTTTCTATATATTTATTATATATAATATGTTTTTCGTCCTGATTTGCGCTGAGTAGTAGGATTCAAGACACATTTTCAATTAGGTACACATGTTAAAACAATGAAAGAATTTAGAAACTAAAATTACAAAAATCACAGAAAGTTACAAAAATTTACAAAAAAAAAACTTAATTGTGATATTTCGAAATTATATAATAAATACTATACAGAATGTACACTTATTAATAAATTACAAATTAGAAAGCTCAAATCGATCCAAATCATAAGTACGTAATTCTTTATTATATACATTTTTACCTCTCAGGTATGGCTCCGGAATTGGGACACGGTCAAACCAACTGCAATTTTGAAAGAACCCCGCACAAAACATATGGAAATTGAACACCGGTCAATTTTTATGAAACTTTTTGATAGTCCTCGTCATGCTGATCAAAAGTCTCAAAGCACGAAACCCTACAACCCCTTTCAACCCCTAAAACCACCCCCAAAGGTCAGGGGGATCCATATAGGTTAATTGGCTTAACAAAATATTTTACTACTGTAAACGAACCTACAGCCACCTACACCATAACTAGCTTTAAAACTATAATCCCTGAAACACTCAAACCCCCATCCCTCTCCCTCCCCCATCAACTACCAAAGCCTGTCATGTCACTTTTCCCTGCTTACTGGTTGGGAAAACATTTGATCGTAAATTCCATCCTACAGCCACCTAAACGATTACTACCCGATACCCTCCGACGCTGACCCAGGACAATTGATCTACCCAAACCCAACCCCATAGTTGGGAGGGGTAGACCAACCCCGTTCCGTATCAAGGCCTGACATGTGACTTTTCCCACTTGCGGGTTATAAAACCATTTGATCGTGAATTTCATCCCACAGCTGTCGAAATGTTCATTCCTCAATACCCTTCAACCTCCAAAAATTGAAACTCCCCCTCCCCTCCACTGCGTACCAAAATCTTCCATATGGCTGTTTGCTCTTTACGTTAAGAGCATTGGGTAGTGATTGTTAAGGTAGCTGAGAAATGAAATTCATGATCAAACAGTTTCAGAGCCCGTAAACAGAAATAATTCATACGGCAGGCTTTGGGTCGAGAACGAATAAGGGTTAATCCACCTTCCCAACCCCGGGGTTGGAATTGGGGGTGAGGGGTTCAATTGTCAATTGGTCAAAAGGTGTCGGTAGTGATCGGTTAGGCCACACTTTGGGATGGAAATAATGATTAAAGGGTTACACATCCCACAAACAGCAAACAATCTTATGGCAGGTTTTCGTACTTTTTGTGGGTTAAAGGGTATTAAAGAATAAGATGGGTGCAGGATGGAATTCAAGATTGAACGGTTTCATAAGCCGTAAGCAGGGAAAAGTCATGTCAGACTTCGATAAGAATTGGGGTTGGTCCGACCCCAACCGTGGGATTTGGGTTGGGGGGTGGATGGTTCAATTGTCGGGGGTCAGCGTCGTTTAGGTGACTGTGAGATGGAATTCACGATTAAACAGCTACACATCTAGTAGGCAGGGAAAAGTCACATGACAGGCTTTGGTAGTTGGTGGGAACGGAGAGGGATGGGGGGTTAAGTGTTTTAGAGGTAGCAGTCTTAGCCTAGTTATAGTTTGGTGGCTGTAGGTTCGACTGAAGTAGTAAAATATTTCGGTAGTTTTATTGACCGATAATTTGTCAAGTGCACCCCCTGACCTTTGGGGGTTTGGTGGAGGTTGTAGGGCTCGGTGCCCATTGATAGTCTTAAGCCTGGCTAGTTATGGTATAGGTGTCTGTAGGTTCGACTACAGTAATGAAATATTACGGTAAGCCAATTGACCTGTAATCTGTCAAGTTCATTACCCTGATCTTTGGGGGTGGTTTGGGGGGGGGGGGGGTTGTAGGGCTTCGTGCTCATCGAGACTTTTGATCAGCATGACGTGGACTAACAAAATACGAAGTTTCATAAAAATTGACCGGTGTTGAATTTCCATATGCTTTGTGCGGGGTTCTTTGAACAAAATTGAAGTCGAAAATAACTACAGCCGTACTTTGAAAAAAAATTCGAATTTTTAGAAATGATTGGCAATTTCCTCGGTCTTATTAATTGTCGTGTACAAACTGAGATCAGAAGCAAAAAGATATTTCGCTCGATTCCGCAAACTGAAAATAAAAGAGAGCTTAATCATTGACATTTCATTTTGTTTCCCTGTCAATCTCTAGGCACCTCGCAGTCTTCTTCATATCCATGTTTAAAGCACCTTCCTTTTTTTTTTTATTAAAATACGTAACAAAAAAAGAAACCTTAAATGAAACTCTTCCAAAATACCTTGTCTTTTCTTATCACATTTCACACATTTTTTCCGACTATTATAACTTCTTTTATTACTATTTAATAATTGATATATTTTCTTTAAAATTTGCTTAGGTATAATTTATAAAAATCTACGATATTTATAACAACTCTTCACTATTTCATACTAAAAGACAACAACAACAACACATTCACCCTATTCGTAATAAAACTTTTATGTACACTCAATAGCGACTCCTTAAATCCTTTAAATCGCGCTACAAAAGAAACTAGTTATTGTTGTTTTGTTTTTGTACAATGCGTTTTGTATAAAAAAGCACTTTGAATCCGCGCGACCAAGTCAAACCTTTCCGTCATCAGCCTTATTAATTGTAAATGTTACTCCACTTTAGCTATTCTTATTTTAAAGTTTAGAAGACTCATAACCTTTGATATGAAATATCCTGTACATTATAGCATTTTCAGGATTGCTATGATATACGGTTTGACCCATCGAACTTTAATCGTTACAGTCCTGTTCACGTATGACTTGATGAAGTGTATCATTTAAAGGATCATAAGTTGGCCATGCTTTTTAATGTTTTAAAAGATGAATATCATCATAAAAAAGTTCTAGTTTATGCTACAGTTTTTTTGCGTTTTCTTCTAAACCTACAAATAGGAAAGCTAGGGTCTAGCTACATTTACAGCTGGTGGCTCAAAACAGTTTCGACTGACGCAGGAGAAAAGCTTAGAGGCGCGCGCTCTAGTCTTGGTCTGGTAGGAAATAAATGTTGGACGTCATATATGAAATAGTGCGCGGCGTTGGAAAATCTATACCACAACCCTATAAATTGTCTTTAACACATCACAACCTCTTCTCGCTATCGTCTACGACCTCTTTCCGGTCCCCCTCCCTCCCATTTCAGGATATAGTCGATTCCAGACACACCTTTGTACAAATGAGATCTTAAAACAGGAAGTGGCGTGCATCTACGTGCAAAATTCGTTGTTACGGTCTACATATTTGAGTCATTAGCATATATACAATTTGATAAAAACTTGAGTTCTCATTCTCTAAATAAATAATTTGTGTTTTGTTGTACTTTCGAGACGGCGGCTGCTCGGGCGCGCCGGAGCAGAATCTAACTTCTAAGGCCAATTCACGCGGCGCCTGTACAATCTATTTCGACTATATCCTTGGGGACCTCCACGAACTGGTACACCAGCCGCTGGCCGTCCACCTTGGCGAGGATGCCCCGCTGGTAGTAGTACCTGAGGGCTCTGCCCATGGTCTCGTAGTTCATGTCGGGCTTGTTCTTGTGCATCCCCCACAACCTGGACACCGCCTTGGAGTCGACTAATTTGAAGACGCCCTTCTCCCTGTTGGTCCACTTGATGTACCTGGGGCAGTACTCCCTGTCCTGCAAGAGTTTCAGCAGGAACTCCCACAGGTACGTCGTCGAACCCTCCCGGCTTTTCCTCTTCACCGTGCCGGGTTCGCCGATCTTCTGCTTCTTGACCTTCTTCAGCTTCCTGGGGGAGAAGCCCAGCATGTAGGAGTCGTCGTACATGCTGGAGGTGGCTGCCTGGATGACGGACGTGGGGATGGCGTGTCTCATAGGGGGGGAGGGGGGTGATGGCGTCGTGAAGGGGGACTGGTTGTGGTGGTGCATGTGATGGCTCTGTTGTACTTGGTGATGTTGCTGGAGTAGGTAGCTGTTGTAGGGGTCTAGGTCTGAAACAAAGATAAACAACGTAAGGAACTCCAATCATACAAACAAAATATAAAGGGGTAATTGCGAAAATTTGTAAAAATAAAGTAGGCGGATGTCATAACAAATAAATTATGATTTATCATAATAATAAATTGACACTTTCTGTCAACCAATAATTAGTACCAATTGATTAATTTATTATCAGAATAATTATGGCAAATAATATTTATACCAATCCAGAAAAAATAGTAACGCTGCAATAAGATTATACCACCAAAGATATCCAAACCGACCGATTTCTCATAGACAAACATTGGCCTCGGTGGAAAGAAGGCTTCGCGAAACTGGTAAAATTCAGAACAATCTTGAGGGTGCCGGAAGAAGGCGTAATGTCCGAAATGTTGAAACTGAGGAAGCTATACTGGAACATCTAGAATAAGATTGTGGTACAAGCACAAGAGAGGTGTCCAGGCAGTAGAATGTAGCTCATGAAAATCTTTTACCCTTTTCACCATCATCCCGTGCAAGAATCGAATGACCCTGATTTACCTAACCGCGTGGATTTTTGTCAATGATATATTAATATTTCCAGGAATGATTTAAATTTCCCAATGAATATACTTTTCACCGATGAAGCAAATTTTCATAGAGTAGGTGCAGTAAACCTTCATAATGTTCATTCATGGTCTGAAGAAAATACTCATGAAATATTTGTTTCAAGATGTCAACATAATTTCAGTTTAAATGTTTGGATGGGAATTGTAGGAAATACTCCAGTAGGTTCTTTTATTCTACCCCACAGGCTTGGAGCGGCCGAGTATTTTAGATTTTTGAACGAAAATCTTCCAACATTATTTGAGGATGTACCTCTCGCTACACGTCAGGTGATGTGGTATATGCACGATGGAGCGCCTGCACATAGTACACTTGCCGTTAGAGAATGGTTAAATTTAAATTACCGGAATCGCTGGATTGGTCGTAGTCGTGATGCCCCTGTTTGTTGGCTTGCACGTTCACCTGACCTAACGCCTATGGATTTCTTTTTGTGGGGACACATAAAAAGTATTGTTTATGCCACTCCTGTTGCCTCCTTAAAAGAACTACGCTTAAGAATATTTCAGGCAGCAGATGACCTTGGCAATAACCAAGAACTGCTTGTGTGAGTGCGTTATAACTTCAACAGACGTATTAGGTTATGCTTGCAGCAAAATGGAAATTATTTCGAGAATATTCTTTAAATTTAATTTTGCATTTCTTGTTTTTCGTTTGTATTAAATTTTATTTCAGTTAAATAACTTTACCTAATACATTTCCCATAGTCATAAGTTATCAAACATTTTTCATTAATTAAAAGCAAATTATTCTTAATGGTATTATTAAATTACCAGCTTATTGACAGAAAGTGTCAATTTATTAATATGATAAATAACAATTTATTTGTTATTACATCCGCCTACTTTATTTTACTAGAAAACTATCGGTTTTATCGAAAAATTACAAGAGGTAAAAAAGTTGCGCAATAAATCAGTCTTCTAATAAAATATTGCAATGGGGTCGACTGTTTCACTCCTTTATAAAATGCGCCAATGATCGAACAAATATTGAAAAGTTGTCTTTTTATTAGTAGGATGTTCATACTAAGTTTCGTGTCTCTAGCATTCCTCATGTTAAAGAAAAAAATTAAAACGTGAATTTCAGTCCCCTCCTTTAAGAGGGTATATTGCCTCAGGGGTGTAACTTTCATATAAGTATGTCCCTAAATTAATTTTTAGAAGTAAATCTCCGTTTCAGGAAAGTAATTTTTTAAACAAAGCGTCCGATCTATGGCAGAACGATTTTCCCAATACGTGCGATCTTCTTAAGCGGCACATAAGTGGATGATAGTATTTACCAGAACTCTCTAAATGAAAGTGCGTTTCCTTTAGTGAAAACGTCCATACAACGCACTAGAAAACGAGCAGTCGTTTTTCACGCCATCGCCACAAAGTGTTGACTTGTCTATTTTCGTCATTACAATTACACATTTATTTAATTGGTCGATGGGTTATTTATTTCCGAATCCGGAACAAGGCGATTGACTGTGCGGTTGGTCAAAGAAACACGAAATAATAATAGCATAGATACTGATAGAAAATTGGGTCAAGACATTTATATACACTTAAGTCTTACAGCGTACAAGGTTGAGATAAATAAAGTTTTTTTAAGACTTGTTACGTCATGTCGATATCTTGAAAAAATTGACATCTGGGCCATGTATGGTATATGGGCATACGTTGAGAAATACTCCTGCCTTAAACTAAGTATCTTTCGATTTTTTCGAGGCAGACATAAATAATTCGCGCGACACATGCGACCAATTCTCGAATTCGCCCCGGCCAACCCATTTGTTTCGATTTTGCAGTGGGTCGATGCCGTCAAAACACGGGATCGTTGGACCCTTGACATTGTCACGGTTGAGCAGGTAAATCAGTGGGCGCGCAAAAGTACCATCGAATTCCTCCGGGCGTCGGATATTTCGGAATCGGAACATGCATCGGTAAAAAAGTATTTATTACATTACCTTAAAGCTGAGGCGAGTTAAATTGTACTGAAATTGTGTGATTGCCACAGCACGAAAAGGAAATTCCGCCAAACATTGTATGTTTTAAAATCAAAATTTCAATTTTTGAGGTGGGGAGTAGCTATACATAAAGAGTAAAAGTCAGAATTGAAATTTTTATTTTACAATTTGTATTAGGACATTACTTGAGGATATAAACAGATTTGTTTTATGAAAATGTTGTGTAAAATAATAAATAATGGTACTTCTCTCTTGTGTATTTTCGTGTTTCTTTAATTTAAGACCACCCTGTATATCTAATCTAAGGTGTTTGTATGACATTCTCATTTTATCGATAGGCAGAACTTTTTATAAAGAGTGACATTTTGCGATAAAGTCAAAATAAAAAGAGTTTCTCTTCTTGTCAACTCCATCCGTCGACTCACTGTACAGGGTCGGAAAGTCCCCATGGTTCATCGGCTGTTACGTGAGAGCGATAAAGAAAGTCATATAAATCCGTGCGATAAAGAAAGATGGCTATAATGAAGGCGTCTAATAGTCACCGCCCATTTCGCCCTTCCACAAATAAGATCCACTTCCAAAATCGAAACAGTACAAAAAAGTATTAAATATTATTTATTGAAACTGATGAGCTTTATTTAATTAGTATCCTGCTCTTGCCACCCTTTGATTACAGCAAGCGAAGAAAATTGCGTCAGATATTGGACATTTCAAACTAAAAACTTCAGTAAAAAAAAGTATGGCGACGCGATAACTTGAGAACTGGCGATTTTCTGAACGTTTTAGAATCCGTACTAATTCAGATGATTCGAAAACATTGCGACGGGCACCCGAGACCATTTAATATGCGTGGGAAATACCAAACGCAGATACCTAACCCCGTTCCCAATCCCCCTGGTCCCCGGTAAACACACACCACGCACAGGCCCTATAATTTACTAAAATAGGAGGACAAATCAGTCGGCTACCTGTTCGGTAAATACCCTCCTTAACATAATTGATTTCCGGAGCCCCTTCGCTCGCACAAACTGTTGATCTACCTGTCTCTCCCGATCCCAACCCCTGCGATCAGCCACCCGCCCAGCGTGACCCACTTTCCACAAAAGGTGCACGAAACAATGCCGGCGCTCCTTCCGCCTAGGAATTCCGTCTGTTTACCCGGATTTCGGGGCCCCCGTCGGTTTAATTAAAAGGGTCAGGTGGTGGGCAGGATCGGGGAGGGTTTGTCCCCGCCGTCATCTGTGTCCGGGAAGAAAAAATACGGCGGGATTTGCCAAGCAAAGGGGATTATGAGCGTTCGATTTTTTTGGGAGCAGCATGTTAATAGAAAGACAGGTGAAAATCACGCTTTTTATTTAAAAATCGCGGCACTATTCTAGAAAATGGAGAACTGGCAATGTGGTAAAAAAAATTGCGTAAAATATATAATGATTTGTCAGTCCTCGATGAAAAAAAAACCTGTGGCATATTGATCAAAGCTAATCAGTTGGAAACCGGTATATGCCTGGTGGTTCTATTGATTGACGACCTTAGTTGTTTAACAGGTATTGTTGTGTAATTGAATGCTATTCGGGGCCAAATGCTAAAAATAAAATTACAATTTCTCCTACTATGCAATTTCTTGGTATATAATAATATTTAATTGTATTTTATCAATTATTAGAGTACATAATTTTTGTTGAACATTTACTTGGCATGATTTCACAGCAGATTTGATTTTTTTTTCATTCTCGAAAGTTACATTAACCTTTTCTGTCAAACGCGACAAGCGTCAAATTTCTTAGTTATGCAGTACTTTCACCCCCATAACGAAGGCGACGGAGATCACAACGACGGCAATATCTTTCCACTAATTTCTTAATTACCGATTTTTAGTCACGAAGTCCTCTAATTTGGAACCTTATAATATCCCATTTAATTCAGTAAGTTTTTTTTTTAAAGACAGTTAGTAGGCAAAAAGAGACGGCGGTTAATTACTATTTAATTAAGCATAAATACAGACGACAATGGCTGGCTCAGTTGGGTGACCTTTGACGCTGGTGCAGCAGCGACATCGACGAGGTCGCGTCACGAAAACTTCGTCTCTAATAAAAGTGAATAACGATTTAAGTAGGAAATGTCATTTAGTTTATCAAATCTGAGAGACGTAATAGCTTCCTTAGTTGGATAATTACGCAACGGGAAAGGAAATTGGGTGACACTTTTATTGTGCATCTCTGTAAGAGCGAGGAAACGCGTCGTTTCGACGTCCAAAACGACAAACGTAACCATTAAATAAATAGTAAGCTTCTAAAGGGTGATTTTAGCATCTACATCAGATTTATAAACGCACATATATTGCGATTTATCGTCACGTGTGTACCTGGCATTAGAAAACTCACTGTTAAAAGCGCGTAATCGGTATTAACAACCGATAGGACCCGGAAGAATTTCTCCGAACGCTCCAGCAATCCGGGTGTG